CACCTCGGAATTGTCACACAGGAAAAGACTATTCCGACCAATTGAACGAATTGAAGACACAGGGACCAAACCAAGTGCAATATCCTTTGCTGTTTTAGGAGGAAAGTAACTGTAGTCTTACTTATGTCCCACTTGGCACAATTACAGACGTACCTAAGCTCGACAAGATAACTAGCATACTTACCGTATTTGTTATTATTTAATTTATGCCCAAGGTTGTTTGATGATACCTTATCGTGCCCTAGTTTAACTTCCAAACAACAATCAAACCTCTCATCGGGTCATTGCTGCAAATCGATACATCTGCAGCAATTCCACAATAATCAGATCAACTTTTCGCACGTTTGCCTTTTTAACGGTAAGTACCATTGTCAATTAAGGCAAATAAACAATGCTCCTAATCGGGTCCGGTCGATGTAGGCCACACAGTTCAGTGCATACTGCCCGATAATAAACTAGAAAAGCAAAAAACGAAAAGTTTGCTTTCCAAACAATCATGTTAAACATTCGTGCGGGAAAAGTCAAACTGTCACACGACAGTGCACTAAATCCATTATTTTACACATTTATAGCGACGTCAAGTGCCAAGCTGTAATTTTAACACTTTATTTCGAGCACATATCACTTTTTTGGCGCCCATGAGTGGCAATTTTGGCGCCCACCTTACTTTTATGACAATACAGATTTAATCTCGCAACGAAAGTTCATTTAAACTAATTTAAATACAAATTGGGCTTTCTAAGACGCCCCTTATTGTCTCGACTGGAGATAGGTAATCATAATTGCACTTTCGTTGCGAATTTTTGTGGGTCAGAGATGAATTAACTCCAATTTGAATCTAATCGTGGTAGGCTGTGAAAACAGTTGTGTCAAAGAAATGCTTTGCCTCCCCCTGCAGCGGCCATTACTGCGCGCCCAAATTGTATTTCCTCTCCAATCTCCACTATTGTGGCTACTGCGACGATTTTGTACAACTCATTTATTTGCCTTCCTTCACATTTTGTCTAAATCACAGCAAACTCTGAAAATAAGCTTAAATAACTTGACAAATCCTCGTAGTATTGCCACTCTTTCCACTTTTGCCACTGCCACTACTGTCGCCATTTTTGCATAATACCCCCTCCCTTGACTTTCGAACATTGTAATATTTTGACACTTCATTCCTTTTTGTGGGTCAGTGGCGAATTGGCGTAAAAATCGATTTTATCGTCGATTATACGCAATTAAAGGCGGAAAAACGTCATAAAATGCCGCTGATTAAACGAGTTAAAGTCAAAGTCACGAAGTACTCGTTGGTATTGACCTTAGCAAGTACCGGCGTAGCTTCCAGGCACGACTTGCGAAAATCGAGTCATTTAATTGGCTAAAATTGAGATTCTTAGCATTTGAAAAACCGCCGACTTGTGGAAAATGTCTATAAGTGTGAATTATGCATTAGCACGTGTTGAACAGTTTAATTGAGCTTCTCTCGAATGCAATTTCATCGTTCTATTGGTTAGAAACTAGTGCAGAAAAAACCAAATGACAAGTAACGGGTCGGTATTATCTTATCGCTTGTGTAAATCTTAGTTAATTAACTTTTTCTCCGATTGGAAAAGAAAATAATGCACGGGACGTTGTTTCCATGAAAAAAAACTATTGGATGTTAACGAGATAATTGCAGATAAGGAAATGCTGTTAAATGTGATAATGGCAATAATCTAGTTAACTTAGATGCGTAATTGACAAGTTTTTAATGGCCGCCGGAGGGGAGACAATTTCCCGCCCAAAAAAGTGTCATCATTTTTCTTTTTAAGTGATTCAGCAGCATAGACATAGTAATTGTTCGCATCATTCATTGAAGAATTTATCAAATAAATAAATAAACTTGGTTCTTTATAATCTTAGCCTGACTCATTTCCATGTATACAAATTTCATAAAATCGTCCTGAAATCTAGAAAGCCATGAGTGATGGCCGCCGGAGGGGAAGCAAATTTCTCGAGAATTTTGATTAAAGCATTGTTTTTGTAAAATAATTGAGAAGCGTGTAATGGCCGCCGGAGGGGAAGTGAATCGTACTTAAATTACATACCATCTCAGACAATCAATTTTTACCCAAATCTGGATCATGTTAAGAGGTCACTGGATGTTTAAACTTTTAATTAATGGAATGGAATTTAATAAATAGCTTCAGGACAATAAATGGTCAAAATATCAATTTAATTATCGTTATTACAGTACGCTTTCTCAATTAAAAACCGGACTTTCACCGAAATTCACACGATTGCCAATCAGACTTTTATTAATAATGACAGGTGACTATTTTGAGGCGGAGTTTATCTGTAAACAAATTGTTATGGGAATAGTGGTGCTAATAATGGTTATTTTCCCATACGAGTAGCGCTGCTACTTGTAAATAATAGCACTGCACTTTTAACTCCTCAAGATATCCATGCACTTGCACTTTAATTCTGTACGCAACGGTCAACTTGCTTTTTAAGTTTCGCACTTTTATTATACAAAAAAGGAACACCAATCGCTGATTTTTATTACAGGTGATTGCTGGTACGTTTAAACAATTATGAACGGACTATTAACCAGCTTAATTTCACTATATTTGCAATTTTGAGGCTAGGCCCTCGTTCTTTAATGACCGTTGCTTACATCGGCCGTATTTTTTTTGTGCGAAACGTGATCTTTTCCAACTGGTGAAACCACCGAGACAGGTGACAGGTGTACCACACGTACAAAAATGGCCTAGAGATTCAGGTCGAACGTTAACGTTACAGTTGAGTTAGGTCGTGGCTTTTAATAATAAGATTTTTCTATCAAAAACGACTCGTTATTGCTCTATGGGTCAGCGACGAGCCACTATGTATTAAACATGAGGTTAGAAAACGGTTTTAAGGTTGTTGACGCCACAGATTGAAATAATACGATTTTGATAATAACGAGCGCTGAGTCAGAAAACACCGGAAAACAGTTAAAAATCACATTTTTGAAAATATGAGGTTGAATTTTAAATCGAATTTTTTTCTTCTGCTGTTATTACCAAGAAAGGACAAATAAACTGGTTTACATGTAATAATCAGTGGCCCACTTATTGGAAGCAAGCATACAAAGTATCTACCCATACAGAAAAGAAGAGCGTATTGAAGTGACAGCCGCAAACAAACCTGTCTTCGTAACTAATTCCAACAGCTGCAGGGAGTCGTGTGTTTATTAAAACGTTCATAAAACATGGATAGGAAGCAGGTCTGAAGCGTAATCGGCACGTTAATTAATCTAAGTTTGCTCGGCTTCATTAAGAAACAGAAGGCGGCTCGATTTATCAACATAATATAGATTTATTTCTCCTATTTCAGAGTATACATTAAAGCAGGCTGGGAAAACAATGTTTTACCTCCCCTATAGCGGCCATATTGCGTGCGCAACCCTGCGTTATTGGCTGTTGTTTTGAGCCTACCTCTTGTTTTTGAATAAAATCGAAAATTTAGTCACATGTTAATTAACTTTACCTTGTTTAGACTTGTTAGAAAACAGAAGACGGCTCAATTTATCAATTTAATCAAGATTTATGTTGCCCATTTCGCATTAATTGACAGTATCCAGATTTATAGCAAGCTGTGAAAAGTGTTAAAATAGTTTGCCTCCCCTACAGCGTCCATGTTAAGGCGTGGCATAACCCCGCAACTCAGTGCTTCCCCTACATTCGCCATTTTTGTATTGTTTTTCCAGACAACTATGTCTTATTGCATTGTCAGTCGCATCATGATTTTGATTTTATGCATGAATTCACCGAAGTGTCATGAATCGGCGTGACGTCCGTTCGTATATCGTGTCTTGAACATTTTATTATCCATCCGCATGTCTTGTCTATTGCTTTGAAGCATCAATTTCGTGAAAAATGTGGGTTAACAACTTGTTGAAAGCAAAACTACTTTATTTTACGAGCACAAAACATCATCTAAAAAGCGTATTCTAATGAAAGGCTCGTCATCTCTTTAATATCCCGCTTGACGCGCAAAAGTGGGCTTAATTAGCACTCGCTTAGAGCACTCTCATGAAACTTTGTGTCAATTGTGGTTTTCGAAAATGTTGGTCACGACTTAGCCCCATATATAGGCGTGTTGAAGAGGCAATAAATAAGCAAATAGCAGTTTCTAAAAGGTTTTTTCCTATCAAAATCGTCGGTCATTATTTGGCGAAACTTTCCTCGCCCATCAAATCAAGATTTGACATGAGAAGAAATGATTTTCGTGTTTTTTTACGCTGAAAGGTGATTGATTGATACGATATTAGATACTCAATTTAAAGAGTGTAAAGTGTGTCACGAATTGGGACTAGACCCTATATGGTAGACAGTGTCTCCATTCTTCGACAAGCGGAAAAACTTGCTGTAACCCCATTGTCTTTATTAAAAGAGAATCGACAAAAAGTGCGTTAGAAAATTGAATTTTTAATCAAAGCCATTCGACCGTTACTTAAATTGACCTCTAGATCAAAATCAAGGAATGTTCCCACGATGATGGTGTCAAAAAATAAAAGAAATGACTGTCCCTTTTATATTACTTCACACAAAGGATGACCGGTTTAGCAAATTGATTGAGTAATTGAATATGATGAATATTTTACACCTACGAGAAAGGAGAACGCTTTTAATGTATGCAAATTGTTCAGGTAAACTCACTCAGATTCGGTTTCAATAAAATTCACCTACTTGTGGCGCATTTATGCAAATAAAAACACTTTTTAATTTATTGTCTACTTTCATTGTTGTTTGACTAATTCAAATTTCGCCCCCAACTTTTTTTCTAATTACAAATTTAAAATAATTATCAAATGTATTAAATAATAAATACATATAATATATCATCATAAGAAAATACATTTTTTTTTTAATTAACGATTAAAATAATAAGAAGTATCACATATTATCGCTAATTATGTAACCAACAATACATGGCCGTAATGACAACAACCTGTTTTGCCGACATGTCGCAAATAACCAAACTCCAAGTTTTGAAATTATACAAAGATTTATTAAGATACGGCCAAAATCTGAAATTTACTGACAAAGACTATTTCTGCAAGCGAATTCGTCGTGAATTCCGCAAAAATCGCGACCTCGCAGACGAATCGGCCATCAGTTTCAACTTTGAGGTTAGCTCACTCTTTGCACTTACAAAAATCACTTTTTATATGTTTTAGAAAGGAATAGTGCTGCTTGTACGACGTGCCGTCCAATGATTAACCGAGCTCGTCTCATTTTTAGTATAGTTAGATTCAAACATATCGATTATTCAAAGGTGCCCCAACTCGTTGAAAGTGAGTTGGAGGAGCAACATGTAAGGGGCTCCGGCCCTGGAGGACAAGCTACCAATAAAACATCGAATTGTGTCGTGCTTAAACATATTCCGACAGGTATTAGTAACTTTGGGTTAGTGGGGACTGTAATGGGGTTTCTAGGGGTTGTCATCAAGTGTCACGAAACCAGATCTTTGGAACAAAACAGAAAAAAAGCACGGCAGTATTTAGTCACAAAACTTGATAATTTGTTAAATGGGGATCAAAGTGTTGAGGCACAAATGAAGGAAATTGAAAAAAAGAACAAATTAAATAAAGAGAGAAAAAGGGAGAAATTGAATCAATTGAAAGCCGAGTGGAAAAAACGTGAAAATATAGAGTAACTGTTATTTTTTATGAGGTAATTTGCTTGCGAAATAAACTAAAAGGGGAAGGAGAATTTTCTTACTAAGCTCCACCTACTTGTCCCCGCCCCGATTGAAAATAATTTCTCGTATAGACAACTTTATTTGTGTTACATTCTAACAAAATAGGCCACTATTGGACAATTTTTTATCACTTTAATATTTGGACTCTAGTTACTTAAAATTAACGGTGTCTAAATTCATCGCCATGGCGGCCCCTTTTGCCGCATCTCCCCCCGTAGTAAACACCAAAGGCAATCTGTAGAGACTCAACACTTCGTTTTGTAGCACTTTATTCCTGGACAATCCCGACCCATTCCCGACAATCCTCGTTATGTTAGCATTTTGGAGGACATCCCTAGGCATCATACTATGTAAATTGACAAGAAGGCCGTTGCATAACGCCCGGAAGACCTTCCCCAACTCGAGATTCCCGATATTTATGTTTGTGACTGAGGCGGTGACATTAGGGGCGTGTCTTTCGCCAAGACAAGTGGGGGAAATTTTCAAATCTGAAACGCTATTCTCCTCCAAACCCAAACTAATAACCTTCTCCCATACTTTAGCTGAAAAGAATGAGAGTTAGCGGTTATAATTATTTTAACCAAGAAAAAATACATTGTGGTACCGAGAATCCCAAAGTCATAGTCCATTGTTGGACCATTTTAACGAAAGTCGCTAAGGAGTTGCCCCCATTTAGGGAGGCGGCAACAGCCAGATACTTGTTCTTGAAGTAGGGGATATACTCGACGGTTGATACCGACGGGGGCCCTGTGGTTGGTTTGTAGTCTTCGGCAACGAAGGCGATCTGTGCCGAAGTTGATATGTTTAAAACCGCATCTTTATTTGTCTCGATGGTGGACAAAACTGAGCACTGCAAGTCCCCAAGGGCAATTCCAATTGGGGTCCCCTTGGGAATACTGTGCCAGTTATCCGCCAAACGTCCCGCTGTCTCCCCGCTCGTTTTGATTTCCGGGAGGAGAGGTGTCGGGAACCCCGCTTGTTTTAAAATCTCCTCGTTCCAGCGATGATGCACGCAATCGAAGTACCCCCAACTCGCCGCATTCTGATCCGACATTACGGGTTTGGAGAGGTTACAAAGCATAGCAACGGCGAAATCCTGGATCGTCCCGCAGCGGTTATACCGTTTTAGTTTCTCTGGTCTGGAATTTACGATTGCGTGATGTGGTTGTAAAAAGTGTTTACTTACTTATTTTTGGACATCCAGAAGATGGTGGCTATGCCGAAGCCGGTGTAGACCTTCAAGTGGGATTGGGGGACGGGGAGGGAGGACAGGAAGGAAGTGTCGCAACGGCTGTCCTGCCAAGTGTAGAGGGCGGAGACCTGGTCTTGGACAACGTCGTAGCGCACCAAATTGTTGTCTTTCTCCACTCGTTCCCAGGATTTATCCTGGTTCCAGAACATGACTCCGTGCATTTGCCCACATATCCCGATTTTCGTTATCTAAAGAGGGATTAAACAGTATAACTCTACCGGTAGACTTCAAAAGAACAGCTCATGTCGAGCGTATCAACACTAAACAGTCATTAAAAAATTTCAATAAAATATAGGGTGTGTCAGAACTCGCGCCCCAGAGAAAAATTTCAAGTAAGACAAGATACCAGATACCGAAAAAGATACTTGGAAATTACAGCTGTTAAAAGAAAAAAATTAATTGACGAAAGTGGAAGGATTGTAAAATTGCGGAATGTTTACGATGTAGATTCAAGAATCCAAAGGATTATAGTTTATCATCAAATAAATGAAATTACTCGGTTTTCAGGTTTTGTGCAATATTTAAAATACAAAAATCGGGGAAAAAAAATCATGAAGACAGATCATCATACACCTACAAGAAAAAATAAAATAAATCAAAAACATTATATCTAAAAACATATGCAAGGTCTGAGAAAAGAGAAGAAATAGATGTAATAGAAATGGGTGGCAAATCCACCAAAATAGTACAGAAAATAATTTAAAAATATTAGTAAAAATAAAACAAATCTAAACGAAACAGAAAAGTAAAATAAAAAGTAACAAACATAAAAAATATAATAATAGTGTAAAAATATAATAAAAAATAAGCAAGAATAGACATACCGCAAAAAACAAGAATTAATTGGAAATAAAATAAATAAAAACGAAAAAAGTAAAAAGTTAGAAACAGCGTAAAGACGAAATTATAAAACTACAAATTCAGAATAGAAAGTAAAAAAATAACAATAAAAGATAGAAACATCAATAAGTTTTTGATAAGTGAAAGAAATAACGTTGAAATAGGGAAAATGTATATTAAGTTTGTTCAAAAAATTGAATCTTATTATAAAATATACAGGTGGGTGTCAGAACTCACGCCCCAGAGAAAAATTTCAAGTAAGATAAGATACAGGAACATGGCAAAAATGTTTAAAAAATTCTGTTAAAAAATTTTGCCATTTATTTTTTGACATTTGACATTTTTTTATGTCTATTTAATATGAGATATTGATGATCTTGTATATGTTTTTTTTGTAATTATTTAGTAAAGGTGCAAAAATTTTGCCAATAAAAGTCACAAATAACATTAAATAGAGTTACAATTTAGGATACAGTTTCCTCTTCTAATAGCATGTAGTAAAAAAATTTGGAATTTTTTTTTCCAACAAAAATAAATACGAGTCAAAGTGCAAAATTTAAATTCTCATAACTTGGAAATTTTTCTAGATAGAATTTTTTAAAGATTTTTTCCATATTCCTGGTATTTTACTTTACAGGGCATTTTTCTCTGGGGCGCGAGTTCTGGCGCACCCTATATATTTTTTTTTTGTAATTATTTGGTAAAGGTGCAAAAATTTTGCCAATAAAAGTCACAAATAACATTAAATAGAGTTACAAGTTACAGCTTCCTCTTCTAATAGCATGTAGTAAAAAATTTGGAAAATTTGGAAAAAAAAAATTTCCAATAAAAATAAATAGTCAAAGTGCAAAATTTAAATTCTCATAACTTGGAAATTTTTCTAGATAGAATTTTTTAACGATTTTTTCCATATTCCTGGTATTGTACTTTACAGGGCATTTTTCTCTGGCGCGCGAGTTCTGGCGCACCTGTATGTTTTTTTTTTAATTATTTAGTATAGGTGCAAAAATTTTGCCAATAAAAGTCACAAATAACATTAAATAGAGTTACAATTTAGGATACAGCTTCCTCTTCTAATAGCCTGTAGTAAAAAAAAATTGAATTTTTTTTCCAACAAAAATAAATAGTCAAAGTGCAAGATAAATAATATAAGTTCGAAATTTTTCTAGACAGAATTTTTTGAACATTTTTTCCGTGTTTCTGGTATCGTACCTTACATTTTTCTTTGGGGCGCGAGTTCTGGCGCAGCCTGTATTTAAAGTGTCATGTGTATTTTCGCACGAGCAAAGTTTTTTGGTCGAAATTGAAGGTGAGTGTGGCCTTCCCTGAACTAATGATAATATTTATGTGGAATTGCCGGCAATGCCATGATAAGGCAAGGTCAACTCACCTGCTGTAGCAGATTTTTCTGTAATTTGGCTACACATGTGTTAAGGGCGGAAATGATTTTCGGTACGTCTTGTTTGTTTCCGTCGATGCCTTGGTCACTGGGGACATTAGATTGAGTTTCCTTTCCGATTTGAGCAACGATTTCGTTGTTTTCGGGGTTGAAAACGCACACTTTGACCGAAGTGGTGCCGATGTCGATGCCTAGGACGTACCCCGGGCCGGCCATCGCGCTCACTGTATAATTAAATTTTATCAGATGCGAAATAGTAGATTAAGATAAAGTTAAGTTCGTGGTTTAATATATACCCAAGCGAATGTAAACACATACTGACTGAGTGAATTGAACTATGTTAAACATAACACGATTAATGTTTGTGTTGTACTCAAAATATTATTTTATCAGTTTATTAAATTCACGAAATCGCTACATTGGACGATCTACAGATAGAAAACTTGACCTCTAGAGAAGTTTTAATTAGGATATACGTACCGTACCAGTCTTCAGCCGGCGTCCCCACGACTATTATTAAAACAAACGCCCATTCATAATGGTAGCATTATTCTATTGTACCAAGTGCCAAATATTATTTTTATCGTTGGAGAAATCACCACGAAGAGATTTTGATTCGTTGGCTGGATAAAACGGCAGTCGACTATTGATTACCCACACAACTTGCGTCATTTTCATCGTGACTCTATTCACGTACGAAATAGAACCACTCTCAGTCATAATTAAGTAACAATAATAACTTAAGTTCACTAATTGTTACGAGACATCTATTGTTCCTTGAACGAACTAATTCCGACTTATCAATAAATTTTTTTCCATGTAAACGTACATGATAAATGAGTTTAAACAAACCCACGCTCACTTGTTCCAATTAATTTTTGTATTTTGAGAGGACATTGTTTTTGACCCGTACTGTACTCGATATTTTGGGGGTCTGATAAAGTAATATTTATTATTATAAAAAATTCCAAATTCCTCGATTAAATAGTTTCCATATTTTTTATCTACGAGTATATTTATCTATCAGAGCGTAAATATAACAACTTTTATTAACCGGTGGATCGGTGGCATGGTGATAAACTTCTGACGAACAGTCAGGAACTGGTTCTTGAGTACTTACAACAGGGATAATAAAACAGATTTGCAAATTGATAATGGAAAAGTCAATATTTGCACCAGCTGTTTGGAAATACGACTAAAATTTTAATAAACTAGTCAGGATTCGATAATGTTTTGAATCTTTATGCTAGCTCATATCTAAAGGGATAAAATTATAGATGTTAATGCAAAACTATAAATAAATAATGATAAGTTTGAATTTAGTCTTGATGAGAAAGAAACTTACTACTTCTAAAAAAAATGGCAGATCGATAAAATAAGAATATATCTATACACAAACTTTTCAGATTATATAAAAAGTAAAAAGGATTAAATAATAATATGTATGATATTACGCAAATCAACAAATATTTTTGAATATGTATATCTTTTTTTTCAAAAATTTGAAAAAAATGTGTACTGACAATAATGAAATAAACATTTTTAGCATCCATTTGTGTAAGGTGAATAATAAAAGTTCTAATGGTTATAAAATACACCGACAAAAAAAACTATAAAAAACAAGTATGAAAGCAACCAGTAATACAGCCGTGTTTTTACATTTTAATACATACAATCTAATTAAAAGAATAAGCATTTAGTTATTTAGTAATTAAAATGTGTTTTAGAATAAATTGTCTACAATACAAATTGTTAGTTTTTTTGGTAATGTTTTTGGTGCAGGTGCCTGCGTTGTCGACGGCGCGTTGACGTGGCGCTTGCGCGTTGCGGTTGTCGTTCATTTTGTGCGCCATTTTGTCGTTGGTCGTGTGCGTTGACGCCGGGTGTTGAAAAAGTTCATTTCTCAGTTGAATCAGCGTGAAAAATCTGTAAAAATGGTCGACACAATTGAAATGAGTTTAGACGAGATAATAAAATCCAAGCCCCGGCGGGGAGGCCGTCGCGGAGGTCGCGGCGGCGGCACTACCCGTGGGGGTGGCGCGCCAAGACGCGGCACATTCCGAAGAGCCGGCGGCGTCCAAAGGGGCCGAGGACGCGGAGGAATAACGCGCCAGTACACCCGGGTAATTGTTTATAACTATGTTTATACTTAAGCTGCCCCGTGATGGAAGCGGCTAGCGTGCATCCAGCCGGAGAGCCGGAATTTACCCCCATCCATGTTTGTTTAGGGAGATGTGAACAGTGCTTGGAAGCACGATCTGTTCGAGGGCTACGGCCCGCGTAAAGTGGCCGCGGCTCGGGCCGTTGTGCAGTCCAATATTGGCCCCACAAAGCTCATGGTGGGCAATTTAGACTTTGGAGTCTCCGACTCCGACATTCAGGAATTGTTCGCCGAATTCGGGCCGTTGAAAAGCGCCTCGGTGCATTACGATCGGTCGGGCCGGTCGCTTGGCACCGCTGATGTGATTTTCGAAAGGCGCAGTGACGCCATTAAGGCCATGAAGCAGTACAACGGAGTGCCCCTCGATGGCCGTGCGATGAACATACAAATCATCACGTCCGAGATTCCCTCACCGGTTAGGAGACCCACGGGAGAGAGAAAGTTCCAAACCAGAAGAGGGGCTCCTGCCAAGGGACGACCTAACAGAGGTACAATTAAATGACCAGCGGCGGCGACGCCTCCAACAACCGGATTTTTCAACTAAACAAATGTTTCTTTGCCAGGTCGTGGGGGAGGACGAAGTTTCAGAAATCAAAAGAAACAACCAACGGCTGAAGAACTCGACGCTGAATTAGACGCCTACACCAAGGAAATGAAATAAAAATAAGTGCTATTAATATCAGAGACGCTCAACGCGCCACTTTTTGTGAATTGTGTTTAGTTTTTTTCGTATTCTTATTTTGTATTTTGATTGTAACATCAAGCCTTACATTTTATAAAAAAAAATAATCACTAGAGTACGAGTATTACGTATGCGGTTCGTTTTTTCCACTAAACCTAGTGTTAGGCTGTTTTTTTCTTGTTAATGTAAATTGTATTGATAGGAATAAATAAAACTTAAGTGTGGCTACGATTTCATTAAAAAATTATCTATTTATGTATAAAACTACATTTTAAATTATATCAGTCAAAGTATCACACAACATTAAAAGAACAAGTTTTTATTGAGCAAATTAATCGTTCTTTTCTTGGTCAGCTTTTGACTTTGTTTGTCTCATCAATTCCATAAAATAAGTACTGATGTATTCACTCCATTTTCTAATTGCCCCATTATGTTCCATTCCTGGGAAAAGGAGCAAAAAAGTCACCAAAACATATGACAAAAACAAATTATTAAAAGTACATCCAATCCAAGCGAGTGCACTCAACGTAATTGTAATCAATAAGAAGTACTAAAAGAAAATAATTAACAAATTACAACACAAGTACAATGAAAGTACCATTTTTCTGTTGGTGCTCTTCATTTTATAAAACCGAGCCCAAGACAACTCTAATCTAGCTTTATACAAAATAACGTTAGTGCAAAACTCCTCGTACTCCTGTTCTTTTCGTGCCGTCCACATCTCTGGCTTGAACATAGAGCCACCAATTGACGGAATCAAATAATCAAAAATGGTCAACACTAAACCAAAAACTGAAAATACTGTCAAAATACTCGGTTCTAACAACCATAAAAACGTAAAAAGGATTGTGCTTCCTGAAACAACAATAAGAGACTTTGACACTAAAATGGGGCTGCTTTACCGCCAATAATCGCTGTGGGGTGCCATTGTTTCTCCCAAACAAACACTCTTTTAGCCTCCAGGATGATCTCCCTCCAATTCTCTAACCCATGTTTCAACTTCCGGATTTGAGCCTCCTGTAACATACACAAAGCATTACATAAGCCCCCAACCCCGGATTTGGTACCATAATTGAGGGATAGGTAAACTTGTACTCTCGCGTTTCATAAGGGGGCTCTGTCTCGAAGCTATGTGTGTATTTATTCTCGCTGGGAGAATCGCCAGCCTTTAAGAGGAGAGGACATTGGGGGGGCTATATTTTACCGAGATTGCGTTACCTGATCTGCCATTTTGGTTAATTTTGTCGATTCATCAAAATAATACAACGGAATTTGACTGACGTTTCAATTTCGCAACGCTTTTGTTTTATTGTTCTGACGCGACCACTAGATCACAAGTCGTTACATTTGGGACCAAAATAAACCTCTGATTGTCATGACGTCATAACATGGCCGAAATTGTTTTGATTTTTAAAAATTTCAACGAAATTTTTCAAATAAAACGATTAATAAAATTTTACATTTGTAAGATGTAAACGAATTGTTTACTGACGTCACGAGCATAGAATCGAAATTTGCTTGGTAAATTATGTCGAGAAAGTAAAATTGACACTTTATTAGCAAACTTGCGCTAATTACGCGTAATTTGGCTTTTTTTGCCAAATTTATTAGGTACCAAAAACGATTTATTATTTTATTAACGGTTAAAGTTCGTTTAATGAAGTGTTCGCTAGAGGGCGCTTTAGAAACCAGAAATTCTTTAATTATTAATTTTAGCTCTATTTAGCCATTTTTATCAAAATTTGACACGCGGTCAAGAATGTATTTATCACAAAATCCTAATTTTGCATAAAATTTAACAATTTGGGCAGTAAAAAAATTGTATGTTTCAACTATTGCAACTGAGCTGCCGCTAGGTGTCGCTCCTAAAAATTAAAACGTTTTTTTGTTTCATTTTAAACGATTTTTTGAACCATTCTGTTACCTTTTTATTGTGGAAAGTGTTTTTATGGTACAAAGGGGCAAAAAATTATTTTTTTCTGGGTTTTATTTGTTATTTCTTCCGTGCCGGGTCCCTGGGTCCGAGATTAAACGCATGTGATTGGTGGTAAAATTCAAATTTCGTTGTTCATCTGTTTTCTCTAGAACGCCAAGTTTGATGTTTCTTATCACAATTGTCAGGTTGTTTTAGCTTAGTGAAATCGTCAATTTAATCGATTTCTTGTGATATTTTTAATTAAAGGCAACTGCTGGAGTGGTGAGTCGTTGTATTTCGGGTCGAGGCGTTGTTTCTAAGCCGTTTTATCCGTTTTCAGATGTCAAACAATGTGGAGAATCTTTCGCCCCAGATCATTCGTCGGGTGGTCAAAGAAATGGAAGATCTAGTCTCAAATCCTCCCGAAGGGATCAAAGTTCTAATAAATGACGAAGATGTGACCGACATTCAAGCGTACATTGACGGTCCTGCAGGTTAGTGGCCCCTGTGTGCTGGAAATGGCATGCAAGTTTCTTGTTGCAGGAACGCCTTATATGGGGGGTGTTTTCAAGGTGAAACTTACTCTGGGCAAGGGTTTCCCACAAGAGCCACCTAAAGCCTTCTTTCTGACGAAAATTTTCCACCCAAATGTGGCCGCTAATGGCGAGATTTGTGTCAATACGTTAAAAAAGGACTGGAAGTCAGATCTCGGAATTAAACACATATTACTGGTAGGTTTCCCTGTTTTAGAATGTTTGTGTGGTTATAAAGAGTTTTCAGACCATCAAATGCCTCCTCATCGTGCCCAACGCCGAATCGGCTCTCAATGAAGAAGCCGGGAAACTCCTCCTTGAACAATATGAAGATTACTCACAACGGGCCAAAATGATGACGGAAATTCACGCTCAGGTGAGTCTTGACTAAAATGAAGTGGTTAAACTATAATGCTGGTTTTTAGCCCCCAAAAATTTCCAAAGGATGCAGTGGAGAGGGCCCCCTGGCTAAGAAACACGCCAGTGATAAGAGTAAACTAACAGCCGAAAAAAAGAAGATACTTAAAGACAAGAAACGGACGTTGAAACGTTTATGAAAACAGTTACTGCCATTCTTGTTTATTTCTTTGTTTTAACTTTTTTTTAATTTTTAAATTATATTTTTGAGTATGCAAGAATGATTTATTAATTTATGTGTGCTACAATTTTGTTGAGACCGTTTGATTTTGTATTATTTTGAATGTAGTGCATGCACAAAGTGCAATTTATTCATGGTTCCAATCAAAAAATAAATGTCAGGCTCAGCTCGTTGTTCACCAGTCAATTATTAAATGTCTGCAAAAAATATTAAAAAACAAACCGGGTTTATTGCCGGCCTCAACATCAAACGTAGCTGAGCCTTAGAATGTATTTGTGGTAGAGAATTGTGAATTATTTATTAATAAAAACTGAAAATCAAATGAATCTTTTACTAAATACAACCAAATCCACATAGTTGAAACATATAATTCGCTTTTATAAAAATGTATTTTTCTATTTTGTCTGCAGAAAGCTTATTTCGATATCAAAACCGATGCTTTAATGAGCCTTTTCAACATCAATTCGGGTGCTGAAATAGACTAGTACAATTTACTTTCTAGAAGTTGGTGATGGTGATTTTCAGCGACGTTTTGAGCGATTTTTCGCGTTCTTTCGTATACTGTTTTTCTATTTTGCGTCTTTAACGATTCTATTAATGAACTCCTTCGAGTGCGTTAACAGCCTCAAGTATTTTATGTTTTTAATGTTGGTGACAATGCTGTTGAAAGTAAAATTGCTTTCAATATGCTTACTATAGTAAACTATAGTTTCCCAAATTTCCGGTGGCGAACATAAAAAAATCTTTTCCAGATTATACACTTGCAAATGTCAGCTCGAGTTGAATTTTCCTTGTCACCAACTGACGCAAAAATTTTCGAAATCTATTTATTGTTCTAAAAACATAAAACGCACAAAATAGAAAAACAATACTTACCTTAAAAAACTCCTTTACAAAAAAATTCAAGCAATCGTTTGTTACTTAACTCGCCGCTACGCAGCTCGTATCTTCAAACTCTTGCTTGAATGCAATTCTTATTTTAGCAATTTTTTTCTTCGGAAAAAGTTTAATGTAAGGCTTTTTTATTATTATGTCGTGATCTAACAAAACCATCCTTTAAAATTTTTTTCTCTGTAGTTTTTTTTTTCAGTTGTGAAACAACATAAAGCTTATGGAATTATTAGAAATGTCAACTCAAAACATACCAAAATTTTTGAGGTATTCACTTCAAGATCTTGATAAGTTGGTAATGACTTTCGGGATTAGAGATCAAGGCTTTTTAAATAATATAATAAGATACCAGATACTGTTTGAAAGTAAATTTTTACTCCAGTGACGTCAGTTGACACGTAGGACTGACCAGTCACATATCAAAAATTTATTTTATTTCTTGGCACAAACTTGATTCTGATTGGTCCCTTGCACCTAAGCACCAAATCTGTAATCATGACCACATTTATTGGCTTATCCACAGCTTCCAACATAAAATTCCCCAAAATACCACACAACACAGCTTTCAACTCCAACATTGCAAATTTCTGACCAATACAATTCCTCGGACCAGTGCTAAAAGGCAAATATGCGAAAGGATGCCTCTTTTGACAGTTCTCAGGAAGAAAGCGGTCAGGATCAAATTTCTCAGGATCGGGATAAATCTCAGGATTGTGGTGCAAATCGTAGATGTGTATGTGAGCCATTGAGCCTTTTGGAATAAGATAACCAGAAGCTGTGGTCAAATCTTCAGTTAACAAACGCGAAATAAAAGGGACACTCGGAAAAATCCGGAGCGATTCTTTGATACATCGTTCCATAAGATTGAGTTGTTTGAGGTCACTGTAAGAGGGAGTTTGAGTTGGGTCATTGAGGACTGATTTGAGTTCGGCATAAAGATCGTCTTGAATATCTGGATGGTTGGCCAAAAGAAGGAGAGTATAGCAGATCGAAATTGAGGTCGTATCGTGGCCCTACAATCCTCAAAATTATTCAAAAAAAAAGACCTCAAATATTTGAGTAAAAACCTCGAACATGAAAGTATCAACCTCCTCGGCTATGCCTTCGTCATCGATCTCCGCCCCATGGCTTTTAGCCAATAGTAACAAATCCAACATTGCCATCCTCTTGCCCCGCCCACCGCTTTCAAACATCCTTTTCTTTTGTTCGATTACATTTCTCGAAAAGTCATGCAAAATCTTGATACTTTGCTTGGTCACGTGACCAAGTCTTGTTAAATTGAAGAAAACAGTCGGGTTGTATAGCCAAGGCCTAGCCAGTCTGTAAGTCAAAGCGTAGCCAAAAACGTGGATAGCATTCTTGTAGTCATCACAATTTTTCGGAGATGCATCCAATTTAACCCCCATTGAAGTTTCTTAAATAATTTTTGATTAAGTCAGTTGGACGACTTGTGGGCGTGTCCTCGTGGCCACGCCCACATGTTCTTCTCAGAATCTAGTAACCTGCGATTGACAGAAGGGTGAACTGCGTTATAGCTGGGATAACATCGATTGGTGGGTCATTTTCGATCACTTGGACCAGTTTAAGTGTCTCTTCGTTGAAAATGGGGACAAACTCTTGCAAAATATTGAAATGGAAAGCCGGTGTTAGGATTTTTCGACGTGTTTGCCATTTGGTACCACTGCTGGTTAGTAAACCGGTACCCAGCCAACAATGCAAAAAATCATAGATGGCGCTTTTATCGTTGTGTTTGCTATTTGATAACACCAACTAAAAAATACGATGATTTTACGTTTTATTTTTTATTTTTTTACCTCGATATCGTCTGGATGTAAAAGATTGACAGCACCATAAGTCAAAGTCCATTCTTTATATATCGGGTAGTACCGACGACATAATTCCCGATCGAGTTTAAATAGTTCTTCAGGAGATGCAAGGAATTGGAAAATGTTACCTATAATTGGGTACCCAGGAGGTCCTGGTACTTTATTTAAGAAAGAAAAAGAGCGAGAAAAGTTTTGGTACCACCATATATAAATAATAATAAAGAGCACCACAATAAATATTAAGAGAAGCACTGTTTGTATCATTATGACTGAATTGAGGTTGCATGATTCAGACTCAAGGTTAATTCTTCTCTTGCATAAATTAATATTATTAAATTTTATTCGAGATAATTTCAAACACATTAAAAATTTCCATTTGGAAGAGATCACGACACAAACAAATTACTCATTGATAACAAAATGACTGTCATCTTTTAATCTGAACATCTGGGCACAAATTTGACCTTGACGCTGTCTTTAGGACGTAGTACTAAATCCGAAATGAAGGCCATATCTTTGGGAGTATCGACTGGTTCAAGGATAAATTTTTTCAGAATTCCACAAAGGACTGTTTTCATTTCCAACATAGCAAACTTTTGTCCTAAAAAATGAGTATGAAAATTTTGATTGGTGTCCTTAGGTCGTACAGTTGGAGACAAAATACTTTGGTCGTCAATGTCACTTGTGACATTAAATTGTAAAGCATGCTTTAGGACTGTTAACCTTATTTTTAGCTACTGTCAATCATAGTTGACAAGTTGTATGTACTAGAGTTCCTATATTAGAAATATAGGAAATATAGGAACTCTAGTATGTACATATTTTTGATATGAAAAATATAATAGCTGTCATTAATTTGAAATTGTCATTCATTTTAACGTTAAAGCTTGAATTAGATTAAAGTGTCAAAAAAGTGACGACCAAAGTATTTTGGTATTTTACCTATGCAATTTCTGGATCCTGCACTGAACGGAATATATGCAAAAGGATGCCTCTTTTGAACATTCTCTGGAAGAAATCGATCAGGATCAAACTTCTCAGGTTCAGGAAAAACATTGGGATTATGATGCATGTCGTAAATCTGTAAATTGATCATACAATCCTTCGGGATTGTGTACCCCGTCTTCGTCTGGATTTCACTCCCTGAGACTCGGGAGATGAAGGGGACGCTGGGGTACAACCTCAAACTTTCCTTAATCACTCTCTCCATAAACTTTAGCTCTTGAAGTTTGGCATAAGACGAAGGTTCCTCATCTAGAACCTCCTCCATTTCTTTCAAGATTTCCTCTTGTACTTCTCGATGATTTGCCAAAAGCATCAAAGTGTAGCAAATGGACATAGAAGTCGTGTCGTGACCCTCAAACATGAAAGTATCGACTTCCTCTCGAATTCCCTCGTCGTCGATGTTTGCTCCTTCAGATTTGTATTTAAGGAGGAGGTCAAGCATTGCCAAACGCTTTCGGGAGGAGTAGGAAGAGGAGGAGAAGTGTTTTTTGCGTTCGGCGATCACGTTATTGGAGAAAGAGTGGAGGGATTTGAGGAGTTTTCGCTCTTTGCGGGCTTGGGGGGTGAGAGAGTAGATGATATCGTTGTAGATCCAGGGGCGAGGGACACGGTAGGTAAGGAGTTCACCGATTTTGTAAACGGCGCTTTTGTAGCTGTTTTTGTCGTTGTCGGAATAGTTGAGTTTGATTCCCATTGCGGTTTCTAAAATAGAATGTCGAAATGAGTTTTGCACATCAAAAAAACTAACACCGAAGATAACTAAGTTTACCAAAATTTACTTATTTTGATGTTGCCAATGAGCAGGTTTGAGATTATTTCAATTTCTTTTGTTTCTTAACGCAATTTTTTTGGTTTAGAAAATTTTTGGTTCACTTTATAATAAAATAGTTTTTCGTTTAGAATAAAAATGTAATTCTATGTTGACGAATTCACAGACGTACCTCCAATTGACAACAAAGTAAATTGGGTGATTGGTACCACCACATCAATAAACGGCTTATGACACTCCTTTTCCAAATCTTCAATCAATTTTTTCGTCTCTTCGTTGAAGATTTGGATAAACTCTTGCAAAATATTGAAATGGAAAGCCGGTGTTAGGATTTTTCTCCGACTTTGCCATTTTGAACCAGCACTGGTCAAAAGACCAGTCCCCAACCAAGAGTGCAAAAAGTGATAAAGAAAACTCTTGGTATTTTGTTTAGTGTCGGTTAAAACCAATTCAACATCTTCGGGATTGAGAAGATTGACGGCTCCGGTACCGCAGGCGTCGAGCATGTAGATGGGGTAGTACTTGAGGCCCCGTTCGCGCTCAGCGAGGAACATTTGTTCTAAAAAATTAATTATTTGTTGTTTAATTCGGGAAAAAAGTACCTGGGGTTCGCATAATGTCGAATAAATTCCCAATAATGGGATAGGCCGGGGGTTGAGGAATTGGGGCCAGGCATTCCCAAAATCGTCCTTTTTTTCTCAAAGAACTCACAAGGATTACCAGCAAAACCAAACACAAAAGAACTGGTGTCAGGAACATCGTGATTGAGTGTAGGCTAGACCACTCTTTCACGGGATTATATACAAACTTATCTTGTTGATAACGCAATTCAATAAAACAAATAAGCGTGACTAGGTAAATTTTCAATCGATTTTTATAATTAGGGTCAAAAGTACAAAAACAAATAGTCTTATTTCAAAAATTTACTGTACTCGGGGATTAAACCTAACTTTGATCCCTTCCTTGGTCCTGAGTACTATATCAACAACCAGGACTATAGTCGCAGGAATATCGATCGGTTCAAGAGTAAAGTTTGCCAAAATGCCACAAATGGCTGCTTTAAGTTCCAACATGGCGAATTTTTTCCCGATACAATTCCTAGGACCAGCACTAAACGGTAAGTAGGCAAAAGGATGCCTCTTTTGACAGTTCTCAGGCAAGAAACGGTCAGGATCAAACTTCTCAGGATCAGGATAAATGCTAGGGTTGTGGTGCAAATCATAGATGTGTAAATTGACAATCGAGCCTTTGGCCAATTTGTGGCCACTATGAGTAACTAAATCCTCGCCCAGCTTCCTCGAAATGAAGTGAACACTTGGGTACAACCTCAGTACTTCTTTTACACATCGTTCCAGGTACTTCATCTCTTGTAAATTTTGGTAAGTGGGTTTTGTCTTAATGTCGCCCAAAATTTCACGCATTTCGTCCACGATTTTGTCCTAAATTTATTCATTTAGAAGGGAAATTAATCAATGGAACTGTGGAACTCACTTGAACTTCTTTATGTCCTGCCAGGACCATTAGGGCAAATCCTAGGGCCGCAGCAGTGGTGTCGTGCCCTTCAAACATAAAAGTATCGACTTCTTCACGAATCCCTTCGTCATCAATCAAGCCTTCTTTGTTTTTTGCTGTTAACAGAAGATCCAACATGGCGAGTCGCCTTTTTCCAGTGTAGACCTCATCTGTTTCTGGTACTACAATTTCTTTGAAATGCTCCTGTCGTTCGGCAATCACACTTTTCGTAAATCGGTGCAAACGTCTTGTAACTTTTTTTTCAAGATAATAACGCGGATTGAAGACGTAAATACATTTAGAAATCAACCAACATCTCAATAGACGATACAAGAGAAATTCTCCCATATCCATTATCGACTGCTTGTAAACTGTCTCTTTTCTGGTGGTAAACCTAAGTTTAGTCCCCATTGCGGTTTCTACAAGCCAATAGCATTACAAGTGTTGTGCAAGTCTCGTAGCCCTAGTACCTGCTATAGTTTTCAGGGTAAATTGTGCTATATGTGCGTTGACATTGACAAACGGCTTGTAGCATTCCTCTTTCAAAACTTCGACAAGCTTATCAGTTTCTTCGTTAAAGATAGCAACAAACTGTTGCAAGATACTGAAATGGAATGCTGGGGTTAAGATTTTTCGTCGCGTTTGCCATTTAAGTCCTGAAAAATAATAACAAAGTTCAAGGTTATCATATCAAGTGAGTCATTTGTTATACCAGTGCTTGTTAAAAGTCCGGTACCCAACCAGTCATGTAGGAGATTATAGATCGCCGATTTTTCCATATGGGTTGTGTTGGATAAAACCAGCTAAAATCAAAATTTTTGATTTTTGGTTTAAAGAATTTTGGTTTACCTCGCAGTCCTCAGGGCTGAGAATGTTGGCGGCGGCCAAATGAGCGGCATTTAGCTTGTAGATGGGATAGTAGAGGCGGCCCCATTCTCGCAATTGTTTGAAGATGTTTTCTGGAAGAAAAAAATTTTTGGGGGAGTTTTGTAAGTTTAGTGGTTGTTACCTGCACTGGTGTACAGTGGGAGGATATTCCCTGAAATGATGTCATTTACTGGAGGTCCAGGAAGATTGTTGAGTGAGATGAGGCTGTAAATATGCTGTTTTATTGTTTTGTAACAATAAAACAAGTAGAATAGAAGGAAGACAGCAACGGCTGTTAGCACTGTTGTCAAAACAAGCATTTTTGTTTGACTGATCTTAATTAAGAAAAGAGCTGATATTTATTTATCAATAATTCGTTACTCAACTACCTAAAAATAATTTGTTATGTCGTCTTTGACAACGCAGAATACCGATTGTAAGAGTTGTTGTTGGAATTCTGTTTTGGTTTGATTGGGAAATGTTCGAGAATGTCTTACTAAATGCAAGATTAAAAAAATCATGTAAAACATGGATGTTTTAGATTTTTTGCATATGAACGACAGGTCAAAGGGTAAACTGCTGAGAATTATAATTAAACAAATTACAAGATAGACCCACAATAGTAATAATTACAGAAGATAAGAGATTTCTATTTTTTGCGATGTACTTTTTTCCAACTCTACCACTGGCATTCTTTAAAAAGATTTTGCTTTGTGATATTTTTATAATTCATCCGTCTCGTATTTAGCAAATTCGGTGATTTTAAAGTAGGTATAATGTGCAAATATTTCAACAGATGATAGCAGAACTGAAAAAAAGTCAAAATAACTAAACTTGTCTTATCCGAATGTTTATAGTCTCTGAGTTATAGAGGTTGAAACCTCTACTTTAACGTCGGAAAAAAAATGCGGTATAAGCAAAGTTGGAACCTTTCGAGTACTTTATCCCAAAGTTTACATTGCTAGTAGTCGGTAATACTTAAGGTAATAAAAAACATAATGTAAAATCACCCTGTACAATATGAAAGCCGTAGATTATAAAGGGAAAGAAAAAATCCAAGATTTGCAGAAACTTTATTGTTAAAAATAAATCACTTTTTGTTTTTAAAATTTGAATTTCAATAAAACTAAGAAATAAAGATATAGTACAATTATTTATTTGAAGTTAAAAAGATAGTTTAAATTCTACTTTCCCCAGATGATTTTATTGGTCTTTATACAGTATGTCCCCGGATTGAGTTTACAAGAAGAAAAAAAATTTTATCTTTGATTTTACGCCAAAACTGCAAGGGAAAAACATTTTTTGCTTCACTTGAAACGAGCAAATCTGTACTTAAACCTTCATTATTCTGATTTGCTGGTTTCAGATAAAGCAAAAAATGTTTTTCCTTTGCAGTTTTGGGGTAAAATCAAAGATAAAAAATTTTTTCCTCTTGTAAACTCAATCCGGGGGACATACTGTATATTTAGATTTAATTTTTTGATTTAATTGACGAGAAACATTCGTTAAAATCAAAAATTTCTTACGGTACTCATTTCGATATTCATCCTACTTGTGCAGGAAAATTTGACTTAGCGGTCTTATAATGTAAATTACTTATATTTCATCGTTGATTTTTATTATTAAAGAAAAATTTTACGCATAATCAACACGTAATGTCAAACATTACAAATCTCAAACGAGTCTGGTGAAACGGTACACAAGTGTAATTTTAAATTTAGTTAGCGGAAACGGTAGATCTAGTAAGAATGAACACCTGTTGAAAAAATCACCAATTTGTGTTTTATGGTGAAAAAAACATTTAACAAACTAGTAAATTCAACAATAAATTAAATCTGAAAACATCGGAAACAAAAAAAACTAATAAGATGCCTACATGATGATATGAAAACTGACAGTTTTGTTTTAAAAAAAAAAGCTCAAAACAAATCTGAATTCATTTTTATGCTTAGCTGAAAGTCTACTACCCAAATCACCATTCGAGACTTAGTCCGACATTTTTGGATCACCCCGTTTATTCGTATCGTAACTTCACGTCTCAAACTAACGATTAATCATCAAATTATTATTACAAGTATTATTAATTTAATATTTGTATTATTATGTTGTATGTTATTTCTTGATGCATTTTCGTGTTATACAGATTCAATTTTACTAATTTTTAAAACAATTCTGATAAAATGGTATATTTATTGAGCTGTTAATAAAATATTTATCACTGCCGGAAGAATAAAAAGACATTGCCCTATGACACAAATTAGATTCCATGTTTATAAATACGGATATTTATTCTTATTAAAACCAAATTCTTAATTTATTAGGAGTATTTGATACAGAAATTTTATTACATTTTTTTTTAATTTCTCAAAAAATCAAAAGATGTTTGCTACATATAAATTTCATAACACAATACGTTTAGGTTATCTCTGAAATGATTACTCATTAAATATTGATAAAACAGTTCATTAGGTAGAATGGAAATTGTAAGACGGAACAAGATAAATGAATTTTTTGCCAATATCTAGACATTTGACCTTTTTGCGACTTTTAAATGTTATAACACATAAAATATTTACTTTTATTTACTAAAAACGTACATTTTACATAATAATTACGAATTTAGGAGCGTTGCACAAACTTGACTTTGATTGGCTCCTTCGTTCTGAGAATAATGTCAACAACCATGATGATAGTCTCAGGAGTATCAATGGGTTTGAGGGTAAAGTTGGCCAAAATGGCACAAATTGCAGTTTTTAGTTCTAACATAGCGAATTTTTGCCCGATGCAATTTCTTGGGCCGGCACTAAAGGGCAAGAAAGCATAAGGGTGTCTTTTTTGAACATTTTCAGGAAGAAAGCGATCGGGATCGAATTTCTCAGGATCAGGATAAATTTCAGCATTGTGATGAACATCGTAAATGTGTATAATAGCAATACTGTGTTTGGGTAAAATGTAGCCCCCAGAAGTGGTCACATCCTGTCCCAGAGTCCTGCTAATAAAGTGAACACTAGGGTACAACCTGAGTGTTTCCTTGATACACCTCTCCAAGTATTTCAAGTTTTGCAAATCATTATAAGAGGGTTTTTTACGCAAATCGCCCAAAACCTCCCTCATTTCAGCCACGATCGCCTCCTGGACTTCACTATGACTCGCTATTAACATAAGGGCGAAACCAAGAGCCGCAGCTGTGGTGTCATGCCCTTTAAACATAAAAGTGTCAACTTCCTCTCGAATACCATCATCGTCCACAATCCCCTCTTTGTGTTTGGCCGAGAGAAGCAAGTCCAACATTGCGAGTCGTTTCTTTCCCTTGTAAATTTCGTGTTCTTCGGTTGGTAGTTCAATATCTTTGAAGTTTTCCTCGCGGTGTTTGATCACCTCTCGGGTGAAGTTGTGGAGGGTTTTGGTTACTTTAAGTTCTTGGAAGTACCAAGGGCTGAAGAAGTTGAGGTAGTGGAAGATGAACCAAGGGTGGGTGAGGCGGTAGAGGAGAATTTTGCCCACGTCGTAGACGGCTTGGTAGTAGTCGATCTCTTTCTGGGTCTCGAATTTCAATTTGCTACCCATGGCCGTTTCTGGAAACGATAGAAAGGGGTCGAAGGTGGAGTCGTGTGGGGCACATACCGGCTATAGTTTTGAGGGTGAATTTGGTAATAAGGGACGAGATGCTGATGTACGACTTTGAGCACTCTTTTTTGAGGTCTTCGACCAAGTTTTCGGCTTCTTCGTTGAAGATTTGAATGAACTGTTGTAAAATGCTGAAATGGAAAGCGGGAGTTAAAATTTTGCGTCTTGTTTGCCACTTGGAACCAAAGCTCGTCAATAATCCGTCTTTTAGCCAATTGCGAAGTAAATCATAGATCTGGCCTTTCTGATTGTGGGCTGGATTTGACATTATTTGCTAAAAAGTTTTTTTACTAATAACAATTTGATTTTTTTTCAATTGGTTGATAATAACCTCGCAATCCTCCGGATTTAAAATATTTGCTGTACATTTATGCAAGGCATTAAGTTTGTAAATGGGGTAAAAATCCCTCATGGCGTCCCGCAATCTTATAAAAATCTTCTCTGGAAGAAAATTTGAAGACTTATTTCGTGTCATACTCTCTTACCTGGAGTTGTTTGGAGATAGGTCATGTTTCCGATGAGAATTCCTTTTTGGGGTGGCCCAGGAATCACAAACATTTTTATATAATTTGTAGCATGAATCTTGATCCATGCTAGGAGCTGAAACACCCCAAAAATGCCCGCAGCACAGACCAGTGTTGTCGACAAGAACATGTTTGTTAAACTAAATAACCGTTTCTTTTTGTTGATATTTTGACAAAGTAGCACATAAATACAGTAGAACCTCGTTAAGTCGAAGGAGATATTGCCAAAAAATATTCGAATTATCGAAGTTACTTTTTATATATTGTTGTATTTTAAATTTACCAAATGAACACAAAAGTTAACTTCTTATGGCATAACATACATAAATATACAAACAAAGTATAATAAAAATTTTAAATCGTATATGTATGTATATAGAGTGTCCGTTTTTCAAATTTCACTATGGAAATCTCAGTTATTATAAGAGATACGAGGTCGGAAAATTTAATGTGTCTTAGTTTTTGAATTAATGAAAATGTAATTTTCGTTTTTATTTTCAAGCGAGCGTTGTCAGAGTTACAACACTCAACTTTGGATTTTCTTATAAACGCCATATTCAATTTCTGTATTTTTGAAAAGTTTTTTTGTTTCTGATTACAACGATTCGATATGATTAAGATAAAGCGTTTTTGCGAAGAGTGCTCTGGAAAAAACGCCAACAATTTTAATTAGCTATGGTGTAAAAGATAAAAAATTCTCGATTTAAATTTTCATTTTTTGGAGTTTAGCCCTGCTCGGTTAAAGATTAATTTCTAACATAATTTTAGTTTTGAGAAATCAAGTATGCGTTGGAAATGTCTCAAAAACTTATTTTACAGTAAAGTGCCTTTTACGTGGCAAATACGACAAAAAATCATCTAAGCTTCTATTTTAAATTTCAAAATCATCCGCCAACTACGATTTTTAATTTTTGTGTTTATTTCGGAAATCAAAAAATGTTATTTTCAACAGTTCTTTAATTATGAATAAGAAAGTTTCTCACTTAAGATTATTACCCACTACTAAATAACTTTCTGTTATCTGTTACTAAAAATCATAACTATCTTGAAAAAAATTAAAAATCATAGTTGGCCAATGGTTTTCAAATTTGGTATAAAGGCCTAAATATTGCTTTTAAACTAATTTCCTTAATAACTTTTTGTCGTATTTGTCACATAAAAGTCAGAAAAATATATATTTTTTTAATTTTGATGAGATACAATTTTTCGAAACTAAAATTACTTGTGTTAGAAATTAATTTTTAACCAAGTAGGCTGAATCCCACAAAATAAAAATTAAATTTAAATGGAGGTTTTTTTTATCTTTTACTGGAGTCGTTTCACCTATCCAGGAACACATTGTATATATTTTTTTCATTTGACATAAATAAAAACTTTTATTAAAAATTGTCTAATATATTTTTCTTTTTTTTTAGATAAAGCTATCATAGTCCTTGAAATTTGACTGCGCATTAGATTAATTTTTGTATTTTCTGTTTGTTTACTCAAAATTTTTGCGCATAAAGCAAAATTGCGGGAATTTCAAAAACAATTGACTTATGGAGGTTTATAGGTGAGAGGACCGGAAATCTCTTCAACTTAAAGAGCTTCGAGATACCCAGGGAAAAATTACATTGATTTCTATTAGTAAATGCTCGAAACCACCCAATCACTTCGACTTTCGAGATATAGAGGTTCGAGTTAGCGAGGTTCTACTGTAAATAGTATTTTTGTTTTTTCTTATCGCTAGTAATCCAGGCAGATTTTTAACATAATTAGTTTGCCATCGTTTTGGATAAATCAGTGTCCTAACATTTTTACCAACAATGTTCATAACAATGGTAAAAACAGTTAACTTGCTTAAATTTATCTTATTTCTTATCTCCAGTTGTTATTTATACACTTTATGATTCGCCATGTCTCATAAAATGTTTTAAAAAGCAACCCAAAAATAAAGTTAATAACCTTTTTGATAATGTTGGATAATCGCTATCTCAGTGACTAATTAATATTGTTTGTTTATACAGGAGGTAAAATACATCAAGAGGCACTTGAAGTGTTTATCTTGCGACAACCTTGATTTTCACATAAACAATATCATTATTATTTTGTAAAAAGTTCAGTTTTACTCAGATTAAGATTGAAATAATTGTTGGAAACGTGAATTAATTATTGATATCTTTGTATTTAATATATTACAAACTTTGTTGATGATTAAATAAAAAGAAAGGAAACTCACTTCTCTAAAAACTTTTATTTCTCGTGTAGTTACAAAAATATCAAAAGTACCTATTAATTGGTGGCTACAAAATCTTTACTACTCTCTTGGTACAAATCTAATCTTGATGTCCTCTTTAGTCCTGAGCACAATATCAACAACCAACACAATGGTCTCAGGAGTGTCAACCGGTTCAAGTACAAACTTGGCCAAAATGGCACAAATGGCAGCTTTGAGTTCCAACATCGCAAACCTCTGACCAATGCAATTCCTCGGTCCTGCACTAAACGGTAAATAAGCAAACGGGTGTCTCTTCTGACTGTTTTCAGGAAGGAAACGGTCAGGATCAAATTTCTCAGGATCAGGATAAATATCAGGATTGTGATGCAAGTCATAAATGTGGATAACCGTAATGGTGTCTTTTGGGATAAGATAACCTTTGTGTGTTCTCATATCTGCCCCGAGAGCCCTACTGATAAAATGAACACTGGGGTACAACCTGAGACTCTCTTTAATACACCGTTCCATATATTTGAAATTTTGTAAATCGTTGTAAGTGGGTTTGGTATGGATGTCACCTAGAACATCCCTCATTTCCTGCAGGATGTTTTCCTGGACATCTTTGTGACACGCAATGAGCATCAAGGCGAAATTTAAAGCCACGGCTGTGGTGTCATGCCCCTCAAACATAAAAGTATCAACCTCCTCTTGGATCCCTTCATTGTCAATAATCCCGTCTTTGTTTTTGGCTGAAAGTAGCAAATCGAGCATGGCGAGTCGTTTCTTCCCCTTGTAAACGTCATGTTCCTCAGTTGGTAACTCAATATCTTTGAAATTCTTCTCCCGATCTTCGATCACTTCTTTGGTAAATTTGTGCAAAGTGTTGGTAACTCGGCGTTCTTGGATGAAATGAGGGCTAAAAATATTGAGGAAAGGTTCGATGAACCAAGGGTGGGTAATGCGGTACATCAAGATTTCGCCAATTTTGTAGACGGCTTCTTTGTACCGAATCTCCTTTTTCGTGTTAAAGTCGAGTTTGGTACCCATTGCAGTTTCTAAAATTGTGCTAAAGTAAGAGATAATCAAACTTAATAGTGGCACCTGTGATTGATTTGAGGGTAAATTGTGATATATGAGGGGTGATGTTGATGTAGGGCTTGTGACACTCTTTCCTCAACATTTCGACGAGTTGTTCGGCCTCTTCGTTAAAGACCAAAATAAACTGTTGCAAAATATTGAAGTGGAAAGCAGGAGTCAAAATCCTGCGACGCGTTTGCCACTTTTGATCTTTACTGGTCAAGAGACCCTTTTTAAGCCACTGGTGGAGCAATTTGTAAATGTAACCTTTTTCATTGTGGATCGGGTTCGATAAAACTAGCTGAAAGTTTTCCGTAGGTTTGAATTAAAAAAAAAATCTTTTACCTCGCAATCTTCTGGGCTAAGTATATTGGCCCCCATTCGGTGGACAGCAAAAATTTTATAAATTGGGTAAAAATTTTTATTAGCTTCTCTCAACCGGTTAAAAATGCCCTCTGAAACCCCTCTTGTGTTACCAACATTTGGATGATTTTTTTACCTGGAGTTGTCTGCAAATAAGTGATATTTCCAACAAAGAGTCCACTAGGAGGAGGTCCTGGGAGTTTATTCAATAAAATATAATTTTTTACATGACACTTGATCCATTTTAAAGCAAACACAGAAACAATAGCGAAAATTGTCGTAAGTATTATCGTTGAAACGAACATCGTGATTGAGCTGTAGCGGCTGCAAGTCGCAGTTTAATGAATCTCTCAAATCTACAATAACAACAACAAAGGTCAAGATTTGGTAATACATAATTGAATTGCAACAATTCCTTTTCAAAATATTTATTTAACTCGTGGAACAAATTTGATTTTTATGCCGTTTTTAGTGCGAAGTACAAGATCAACAACTAAGATTATACTTTCGGGAGTATCAACCGGTTCAAGGATAAAATGAGACAAAACTCCACAAATTGCAGCTTTTAACTCCAACATGGCAAATTTCTGGCCTATACAGTTCCTTGGGCCAGCACTGAATGGCAAATAGGCGAAAGGATGTCTCTTTTGAGTGTTTTCAGGACGAAAACGGTCGGGATCAAACTTTTCAGGATCAGGGTACAAGTCAGGATTGTGGTGCAAATCGTAGATGTGCAGATGCGTGATGGTATCTTTAGGTAACTTTAAACCATTAGAAGTCACAAAGTCCTCTCCCAACTTTCTTGAAATAAAATGCACACTTGGGTACAACCTCAAACTCTCTTTTATCGCTCTTTCCAGATATTTCATTTCTTGCAAGTCACTGTAAGTCGGTTTTCGGCGCAAGTCACCCAATATTGTCACCATTTCGTCCACAATTTGGTCCTAAAACAATATACAATTTTTTTGCCTAATTTTTTGAACAAGTCACCCACTTGGACGTTTCTGTGATTTGCGAGAAGCATAAGGGCGAAGCTTAGGGCGACTGAAGTTGTGTCGTGGCCCTCGAACATAAAAGTGTCCACTTCTTCACGAATCCCATTTTCGTCAATAGTCCTTTCTTCGTTTTTGGCAGTGAGGAGGAGGTCTAGCATCGCGAGTCGTTTTTTGCCAATGTAGACATCATGTTCTTCAGTTGGTAGTTCAATTTTTTCGAAAGTTTTTTCACGTTCAGTAATCACATTTTGAGTGAAAGTGTGGAGGGTTTTGACTAGACGTTTCTCCTTCCAACGTCGAGGACTGAAGAAATTGAGGAAGTCGTAAACAAGCCACGAGTTGAGGAGACGATAGAGGAGCACTTCGCCAATTTCCAAGATTGCTTGTTTGTATTCGAGTTGTTTTTGGGTTATGAATTCAAATTTCGTCCCCATTGCAGTTTCTTTAATTGACAAGTGAAGAAGAAATGGTTATTTGGTCCTCGTTGACTTACCTCCAATTGTTTTTAAAGTAAATTGAGTGATATGAGACGTGATCTCGATCGGTTGGTCAGATAATTGCTTAAGAGTGTCTACGAGTTTGTCAGTTTCTTCATTAAAGATTGCGATGAATTGTTGGAGGATACTGAAGTGGAAAGCTGGTGTTAGGATTTTTCGTCTTGTTGCCCATTTTTGTCCACCACTTGTCAGGAGACCTGTTCCCAACCAGTTGTGTAGAAGGTAATAAACCAAGCTTTTTTCGATATGAATCGGATTGGATAAAATGGCCTAAAAAGAAACTTTTAACTTTGCTCAAATGTTTGGTTTAAAAAAATTGCTTCAAAGTCTTCCGGCGCCAAAATACATGCAGCTGGGAAATGTAATGCTCTAAGTTGGTATACTGGGTAGTAGTCACGTGCAAATTGTCGTAATTTTTTAAAAATTCCTTCTAAAAAACCATAAATCCTTCCATGACTGATTTATTTTTATTATTTTATTACCTGGAGTTGTATGAAGATGCAACACGTTTCCAATGATTATATTGAAGTTTGAAGGACCGTCGAGTTTTCCCAGGTCGACTAATTCTATTACTACGCATTTCAATTTTTTTATAAAATAGAAAATTAGGAAGAGACTGATCACAAGAAGTGTTGTCGATGATAGCAACATTCTGACATTAACAGTTAATTTTTTCTATGTGAGATATAAGCCAGCTCCGTGGAGGTAGAAACAACTTCTGGAGGGAGCATAAGCACTGAAACCGTGCTCCCTGCACAAACACCTTTTATCATCATTTTCAAAGTACGCGCTCAAGCTTTTCCCCCACTACAAATTTGGATGCAGTGGTGTAGTCAAAGTTTTTTACATTTAGTTAACTAAATAAGTAAATACACCTCCAACTAACATTAACAATTAACACTAATACTTAAAACTACGCAAATTGTCTTAAAAAACTGTGTAAAACAAAGTTAATAAAGACAAAAATCAAAAGACAACGTGAAAAAGATGGAAACAATGAGACGCCTATGATATCAGCTGATTCAAAAAACAACTTTTGACTTGCGCACTGTTTACACATTTAAGCGGGAAATTCAGAATAGGTCATAAGAGGTGTTTGTAGCAGTAACTGTCCAGTTGTTTCTCCCTCCACGGCTAGCTCTTATCATCAACAGCGATGTAATTTATTATCTCATGTCAAAGTACAGATACGAGTATTGAGAAATAAAATAAAGAAAATATTGGAAAATTAGAGGTCAAAAAAGTTGTTAATTCATCGTGCATTTATTACGAGTATTTTCTTTTATTTTGTGATTACTAATGATTGATGAATTTATGGTTTTTTTCCACTTTATGACAATTAAAAAACGTTATATGGAGTAATTTTTATATTTTTTTAAAATTCATTAATTTCATAAAGAAAGGAACAGAGCAATTTTTCTATTTGGCACATTTTCTTGGAACAAATTTTACTTTAACTCCATTCAATGATCGCAAAACTAGATCAGTTTTCATAACTAGAGTCTCAGGTGTATCTACAGGTTCCAAAATAAACTCCTTCAAAATTCCAACAAGAACAGCTTTCATTTCAAGAATTGCAAACTTCTGTCCTATACAATTCCTCGGTCCTGCACTGAACGGAACATAAGCAAAATTATGTCTATTGAGACAGTTCTCAGGAAGGAACCGATCAGGATCAAATTTTTCGGGATCAGGATAAACCTGAGGATTATGATGCAAATCATAGATGTGCAAATGAACCATTGAACCAGCTTTCAATTTATGACCACTGTAAGTCACAATATCCTCACCCAGATATCGTGCGATAAATGGTACACTCGGGTACAACCTGAGAACTTCTTTGATGCATCTTTCCATGTACTTTAACTCTTGGAGCGATTTATAATCCAGTTTGGTGTCATTCAAAAACGTTTCTTCGATTTCTTCAAAAATACGCTCCTAGAATTGCAAAAGTGACACTGTTTTTTTTTCAAAATGGTGGTACCTGAATTTTGGGGTGACAGGCGAAACACATTAACGCAAAACAAATAGCAACAGCGGTCGTATCGTGGCCTTCAAACATAAAAGTATCGACTTCTTCTCTAATACCGACATCATCAATCAGATTTTCCTCATTTTTGGCAGTTAGTAACAAATCAAGCATTGCTAAACGCTTCCTTTTGGAATAGGAAAACTCATCTGATTTTTGCTCAACCGGTTTGAAATTTTTTTGCCGACTTGCAATTACGTTATTTGTGAAATTGTGCAAAACTTTAACAAGGTTTTTTTCCTTCCAGTAATTAGAATCGCACATGTAGACTAACTTGTTTAAAAGCCAAGGCCGGAGTAACTTATATTTCAAAATTTCGCCAATTTCTTGGATTGATTTTTTGTATTCGCGTCCAACGGAAGTTTCGGTACCAAAATTAGTACCCATTGCGGTTTCTACAAAAATAATCAAAATTCTGACTCCACACTACTTGGTACTACCTCCAATGGTACTTAAAGTGAAGGCTGAGATGTATTCAGTCACATCAATGCTGCAATTGGAGTATTTCTTTAATTGTTGTACCAGGACTTCAGTTTCTTCATTAAATATTTTTATAAATTCTTGCAAAATGTTAAAATGGAAAGCAGGTGTTAAGATTTTTCGCCTTGTTTGCCATTTGGTACCATCACTGGTCAGTAAACCGGTACCCAACCAACTGTGCAACATGTCATAACTTTTACTTTTGCTAATATGTTTCATATTTGATAAAATTGTCTTAAATTAAAGAAATTAACTCAAAATATTCAAAATTGGTACCAACCTCAAAATCGTATGGATTTACCACGTTTGCAACACTGATATGAGCAATCCAATTCTGATAAATTGGATAGTACTCCAAGCCCCATTTACGCACAGTTTTAAACATCTTTTCTGAAAAAAAATATTTTTTGGGTAAGTCCTTGTAAAGTTTAATTCTGACGTACCTGGAGGTCCATATAGGTGAGTTATGTTACCATGAAAAAAATTTTCGCACGGAGGGCCGGGCAATTGTTGTATAGACTTGATTATGGCGATGTAGTGACCCAAAGGTTTCAAGCACAGGGCCAAAACGAAGGCAATTGTGGCTAAAATTATCAACACAACGACCATTTTGGAGGTTACAGTTATTTTAAAAACATTAAGTAATGATTGTTATTGTGCTAATGTTTACATCAAACTGATATAAAGCTAGATATTTCTTTATGTGTTTCTTTATGGTTGTTGGAAAATAAGTGATTCATAGCTTTTTATGGGTAAAAGTAAAGAAATTTTTACCACAACACATAAATGCCTTTCGCTCTCGTACATAAATAGCCTTGGTTTAATTCTTGTAAGTTATTGTCACTATTCTAAATCAGATAGGTCAAGGTTTGATCAAAATAAATTCAAAGTTTGTTTTGACTAATTTATTAAGATAAACATTTGTTTTTAAAAACAAGAAATAACAATTTGAGAAAAATATTACATTTCCCTTGGTACAAATTTGACTTTTATACTGTCCTTGGTTCTCAAAACTATATCTTCGACCAGAACCACACTTTCAGGAGTATCCACAGGTTGCAGAATAAAGTTTGATAAAAGACCACAGAGGACTGTCTTCAATTCCAGCATTGCAAATCTTTGGCCTATACAATTCCTAGGTCCTGCACTAAATGGAATATAAGCATACGGATGTCTTTTGTCACAATTTTCCGGTAGGAAGCGATCCGGGTCAAATTTTTCCGGGTCCGGATAAATGACTGGATTATAATGAAGATCGTAGATGTGCAATTGCAAAATTGTCCCTTTCTTCAATTTATAACCAGTTGCTGTGACCAAATCTTTACCCAACTCACGAGAAATGTAATGTACACTTGGATAAAGCCTTAGGACTTCTTTTATGACCCTTTCCATGTATTTTAATTCTTGCAAATCATTGTAAAGCGGTTTCTTTTTTACGTCTCCTAAAACATCCTTCATTTCTTGCACAATTTCTTCTTGAACTTTTGGATGATTTGCTAATGTCAGCAGAGTGAAATTTATGGCTGCTGAAACGGTATCGTGACCTTCAAACATAAAAGTGTCCACTTCTTCTCGAATTCCTTCATCGTCGATGATCCCTTCTTCTTTCTGAGCTGTCAGAAGTAGATCTAACATTGCTAACCGTTTTTTCTTTTGGGTATTAACAGTTCCTCGATGAAAATCGTTTCGTCTTTTGGCGATAATATCATTGGTGAAGTTATGCAAAAGTCTGACTAATTTCCTTTCTTCATAAAATTTGGGACTAAAGATGTAGAAAATGGTGTAAGCTAAATAAGGTCGGAAAATTCGGTGCAACAGAATGGAAATGAGTTTGTGAAAAGCTTCTTTGTATTCTTTTGCCTGTTTGGTGTTGAAGTCAAATTTAACACCCATCGCAGTTTCTAAAAATAAATTACAATTTTTTTTTGAATGAAAATTAAAAGTTTGATTACCTCCAATAACTTTCAAAGTAAATTGAGTTACCAATGGAGTTATTTCAACAAACGGTTTTCCAACTTCCTTTTTAAGAATTTCAACCAACTCTTCCGTACTTTCATTAAAAGTCAAAATAAAGTCTTGCAAAATACTGAAATGGAAAGCTGGTGTTAGAATTTTCCGTCTCACTTGCCAATGGGTCCCATAACTTGTCAATAAACCTTTTCCTAACCATTTGTTGATCAAGTCATACGCTTTGCTCTTTTTTGAGTGTTTCATGTCGGGTAAAATAAGCTAAAATTTTTGGTTAAAATTGCATTATTTTTTTGGAGGGATTTACCGCCAAGTCTTCTGGACTCATTATGTTGGCTACGCTTACAAAAAATAACCATAACTTGTAAATTGGGTAATACTCAAGACCCCACTTGCGTAAAACATTAAAAATTTGAGCTAAAATTTTTCAAAGTGATGACAAACTTTCAAATTGTGATACAAACCTGAAGTGCCGTGTAACGGGCGCATATTTCCGAAAAATAAATTAAATTTCGGCGGTCCTGGCATTTTTTGAACATAGAATATTACCAACACCATTTCAATTAATTTTTTGAAAATGTAACAAATGACAACAACTGCCGCCAAACCTATTAACATTTTTTCTAATGCCATGTTTTACAAGTTGCTACTTTGAAATTTAAATTGTAACTGGACACTCTTTACAGACTCATAAATATAATGAATCAGTGCCATAATTGGAATTGTATTGACACAAAAATCTTATCATATTGATGTTGTATTGGTTTTATTGGTCTAAGAATGTATTTTGGTAATAATTGAACTTTATTTTGATTAGATATTCCTTTAATAACCTTTGTCTTTTGCGAACTGCAGAACGAAATGTAGAAACACAGATTTGGTCAACAACACATACCAGGTGAATAAAAAGTATGGAACCAAACGTTTTTTGCTTAAACTATTTATTTTTTGAAAAAACTAATTGATGAGTGATAAAGTACTATAAAATGCGATGATTTAACAAGAATAAAATTTTTCGAAATTTCTTTTTGTTTTTGAGTTCTACAACAAAAAATATTTTTTTAAATGGCAACCCACTATAAAATCATTTTTCTCATAAAAGCTATACTCTAAGGATTACAACTATCTGCTTTATATTTAATTTTTTCACATAAATTGCAATTTTGACAAAAAAAATCGCATAACTCAAAAACAAAACAAGATTTCGTTCTGAAAATACGATCACATTATACTACTTTAATTTATATTAATTATTATTTTCTGGAGCCAAATGATTAAAAATAAAACCGCTTGGTTCCATACTTTATATTCACCCTGTATAAATTCGGAACGCTTGTTTTTCTTTTAGTCTTTTTTTGTTTGTCAGCACCCTTTTGGGATTGAGGATAACCACCCCTAAATTAGTTTTTAACCTTTTTAGAAGAATTATATCTCGATTTTCAAAACACATCCAAAATATTTGACTAATAGATAATAGAAAAAAGGTACTGTTTAAAAGAACTTGGTTTCTGCAGAGTTCTTTTTTTTTAATTAAAATTGTTCCAAAACATAACAGTGTACACTTGTATTACATGATAGGTATGTACTCGTACTTCCAAAAGTAAAACTGTTTCCTAAGATTTATTTTAAGAATTTTAATATTTCCCAAGAGCTGTAATTTTCAAAGACGAAAGAGGTACTGCTGTACGCACCCCTAAATACAATGGTCAGAAGATAGTCGACTAAAAAAATACAGCTACAAAAAACTATGCACTTTTTCAATATTTTTAAATCAGATCGTACCGAATTATGTATTGCTAATTGTATTTTACAGGTGCAAGCTTCGTAAAATTGTGTTTGTTCATTTTTACCAAAATTTTTATTTTCAGATTTTTAAGTTTTTTTTATTTCTAAGTTTCTCTAAATTTTATTAAGATTATTCTCATAATGTTCAAGGTTTTCGCACTCTTACTTGTTTTTACAAGTTAACTACATACGTATTTATCTTTTATACAGCGTGTGTCAGAACTTGCGCCCCAGAAAAAAGTTTCAAGTAAGATAAGATACCCGGAACATGGAAAAAATGTTTAAAAAATTCTCTGTCAAAAAATTTTGACATTTATTTTTTGACATTTGACGTTTTTTTTTAATCTATTTAATGATACTGATGATCTTGTACTTATGCAGGCTGTCCCAACGGTCCGAAAAAGCTCTATAACTTGTTTACTTTAAGAGATATTGACTTTTTCTTTTTTTTTAGATTATAGCTGCGTTTTTGATGCACATTTTAAAAATATTGCGGTTTATATACAGGGTGTCCCAATATTAAAAAAACACTAAAGTTATGTTTTTTTAAATGGAATCTACTCAGTTTGATTTTATTTTTGGATTCTACGCTAAATTACAAATAACTTTTATAGAGGTTGTTTTCATTTATCTGTTATCAATTTTGATTTGTGGCGCTTTTTTACCAGAATTTTTGAAATGCAGGGGTCTGTCTAAAAATTCGTAACTTCTAAATACTTGCACACAACTTAAATTAAGTAACGCTGTTTGATTCCTGAAGGTTTGCCGCATCTTTTAAGTGTTTACTCAACAACCTGCTCAGTGGCATGTGCCTACTGCGATTTTTTAAACATGACAAATTAAAAATGTCAAAAACTCATTTTTTTCAAATGGCACCCTCTATTTATTATTGTACCAATCAAAAGATCTTTTGACAAGCTTTCCATCAATATAGGGTTTGTATAGTCCAGTGTAAAATTCTAACTTGCTATCCTAAATTAATTAAATTTCGAAAAACTTTTCTGTTTTGGACAATAAAAATCGAGTGGGCTTCTGTCATTGTTGCGATCTGTCAATTTTATTGGGAAGATTATAAGTCCCAACTCATTAACATGGTATACAGTCTTGGTGAAGCGAATCGTAATATTTTATTGGCTTAAAGAATCTACAAATAAAAATACCCAAATGCAAGACTGCCGCAAAGTGCTGCATTTAAAAAATTGTATAAAAATGTGTATAAACTGAGACCAACAACTGCGGAKGATATGAAACAAAGAATACGCGATACATTCCATTTAATAAATGCAGATATGCTAAGTCGTGTTAGACTATCTTCTAGACGAAGACTGCATACTTGTTTTGAAGAAAATGGTTATATTTTTGAGCATCTGTTATAAAGAAAATTGTAAAATAGCTTTAATGTTTTGTTTTTTTTTATTTGTTATTGTTTTTACATTTTTCTTCTAAATTGTGTTAATACTGAGTTTGCGATATGTTAGATTTTGCCTAATTTTCTCTGTAACTCAATTGTGGACAATATTGTACATTTTCTTGCAGCAAAGAATTTCCAATTCTATACTTTTGTTTATTTTCTGTGCTAATTTTTTGTGCATAAGGCCCACTCGATTTTTAGTGTTCGAAACAGAAAAGTTTATCGAAATTTAGTTAATTTAGGATAGCCACTTAGAATTTTACACTAGACTAAACAAACCTTATATTCATGGAAAGCTTGTCAAAAGATCTTTTGATTGGTGCAATAATAAATAGTAGGTGCTATTTGAAAAAAAATGAGTTTTTGACATTTTTAATTTGTCATGTTTAAAAAATCGTAGTAGGCGCATGCCACTGAGCAGGTTGTTGAATAAACACTTAAAAGATGCGGCAAACATTCAGGAATCAAATGGCGTTACTTACTTTAACTTGTGTGCAAGCATTTAGAAGTTACGAATTTTTAGACAGACCCCTGCATTTCAAAAATTCTGGTAAAAAAGCGCCACAAATCAAAATTGATAACAGATAAATGAAAACGACCTCTATAAAAGTTATTTGTAATTTAGCGTAGAATCCAAAAATAAAATCAAACTGAGTAGATTCCATTTAAAAAAACATAACTTTAGTGTTTTTTTAATATTGGGACAGGGTATATAAACCACAATATTTTTAAAATGTGCATCAAAAACGCAGCTATAATCTAAAAAAAAGGAAAAGTCAATAACTCTTAAAATAAACAAGTTATAGAGCTTTTTCAGACCGTTGGGACAGCCTGTATGTTTTTTTTTTTATTGTTATTTAGTGAAGATATAAAAATTTTGCTACAAAGCCACAAATAACATTAAACATAGTTACAATTTAGGATATAGCTTCCTTGTTTCTCCTTCTAATAGCCCGTATCAAAAAAATTGGAAATTTATTTTTCTAAAAGTAATAAATAGAGTTAAAGTGCAAAATTTTTAACTCTCATAATTTAGAAATTTTGTTCCTTCTATCTTACCTTACATGGCATTTTTCTCTGGGGAGCGAGTTCTGGCGCATCCTGTATACAAGTGAACCAAAAGTAACTCACAAAATTCATATTTGTGTTATGAGCAAAGACCGGATTTTTTGCATTAAAAAACATAATATTTTGCAATAAAAACGAGATATTTTGCACTTTTTCGCATTAAAAAAACACACGTTTTATAACTAAATTTTTATTGTCATTTCATTACTATTATTAATTTTCATCAAAAATTGCAGAGTTATAATTTATAATAACATGCTTTTCAAGATGCTCTGAAGTAAAATTATGACGTCTATCAGTCAGCAATCGTTTGTATGTATGTTGAAAAATTTTTTTCATTTTCTGTACTGGTAAGTAGAGCAAAAGTATAAGAAGCTAATAAATTTGGATCTTTTACTTTAAATTTGGATCTTTTTTTTTTAAGTTTCATTTTAAAGGGAACCATTTTCAACTGCTTCATTTATTGATTTCGTAATTTTTTTTTTTGTTAAATTTGCAATTTCTTGCAAAATAATCGAATTTTGAATTATTTTGCACTATAAAATTTGGTTCCTGGAATCAACAACTTACGGTTTACGCTGTCTTCAAATTTGGTACCTGTATTAATTCGCAAAATGAGTTTACCAGTGCAAGGAAATCCGGTCTCTAGTTATGAGTCATTTTTCAAAAAAATCCTCAAACGAGTCGATTTTATTTTTATAAAGGCTACATTTTGACAGAATTGTGACATTTATGACCTCATTGGATTTTGAGTAATGATGTCATCATTAATTTTTTTAAATGGCAACCAACAATTTTGTTGACAGTTTTTGGTAATGGGTACAATAGGGAGCATAAAATTTTGGTAGGTAATGTCATTTTGAAACTTCTGTCAAAAAAAACAATGTTGGTTGCCATTAAAAAATACTGATTCACGTTATAAATAAAAGTATAATGAAAATGTAGCAAAAAGGAGGTGTTACAATAAATCAAGACAATAATTTGAAACACATTTATTTTTTATTAATAAATACAGAAAGGTGGTGTAATAAAAACGAATGGAGTATTTTCCTTAATGGTTTCTCGGCCATTAGTCGCTTATATTTTGATTAAAAATCCAAAAGCACCCTTATTCTCATCTCGGGAAATCCCACACAGTATACCTATAGTATGACCCATTCAAACACACCTACTCTAAATAAATAAATAATCGGATATAATCGATGACAAGACAAAAAGAACACATATTGTCATTGGTGGGTACTCAGAATTGTCCCCTAAAATCAGTCCTTTTCTCGAATAAAAAGTACCAAAATATATGATCTGTTGTAGTCTTTTGTGCTCTAGACGTAAATCTCCCCATTTGAGAACCTCTGCCCCGGGGAGACCCTCACGTAAAACTCCTTTCGGTTATCCGAACTGTCGCAATCGGACACTTCTTTGATTTCCCTGAGACTGCCGCATTTTTTCTCCGAATTCCTCTTACTAAGAAACGAATCGGAAGTTTGCTGGGAGGAAGTGTGAGTCGACGAACTCGTACTTTTTCGCGTGATTTCGCGCTTGTCTTTTCGTCTCCTCTTGACGATTTTCATGCCGCATAATTTGAAAAAACCGCTCCGAAATTTCGAACTGATTATATTGTACAAAATCGGGTTAACGGCCGAGTTTATGTGAAACATAATTCGGGAGAAATAAAGAATATTGTAGTAGTTTTCGAACCCGATTTCGAAATTGGATCCAGCAGGAGCCACAATGATCCAGAAAGTGAGAGCTCGGAAAGGGAGTAAACAGATGAAAAAGGCCAAAACGACCGTCCCCAACATCAGAATGACTTGCTTTCGGTACTTGATGGCGCTTTGGGACGGCATAACGGTTTTGGTGCCCGTCATGGCTACAGGGTGGTGCATTAAAGTCTTGGCAATTAGGATGTAGACGATAATCAAGATGGCGAGGGGAAAAATAAAGAAAATCAGGATCGAGCCGAGGAAAAAGACACACGGGAGGGTGTCTTCGACTAGACTGAAGCAAACGAAGACAATCGAGCCATCGACGTACTCCTCAGGTCCGTACTGGGTAATTGCCAAGATCGGGCTGCAAATTTAAAAAAACTTAGCACCGACATAAAACTATCAACAAACTAGACTTATTCACGTCATTGTTCAAATTCCCCGACTTCAAAAGAACCGAAAATAGTTTCACGGTGAATAAGTCTGGACAAGTCGCTTCGCAGGTGTCAGTTTTTTTTAAATTAATTGAAGTAACTTGTCAGAGTTCCGGATCAGTCGTGTTAAAATGAATTGTAATTAATCATACTTACTTAAAATAATAATGTGTTCGAGCTTGATGTGGGTTTGGAAGGTTTTTTGTCAAGGGTTAGTGTACAGCAACGAAAAAATCGCATAGTGACTAAATGAATCGTTTCGTTGGTTTGGTGCCAGAAAGGATTCATTTTTGGCACTAGTACCAGGAATAATAAATATATGTTTATTAAACACGTACTCTTTGGTTTGATATATGTACTAATAATAAGGATAAATGCACTTGTCAGATAAGAATCAAAGACAGCGGGATAAGTGACTACAACGGACTGCAAACAGTGGCGTAACAGTGGTGTGGAAAAAAGGCTTTGGGCCAACACGAGAAATATCTCTTCAATAATTGTCAGTCTCAAAAAGAGCTTTTACTGCGATTTTTCAAAATAAAGCAGAACCTAAATCTAATCACCAAAGTGTAAGCTGATTGACATTGCAATTATAATGATTATGAGAATGATCAATAAAGATCTTGCAATCATTTATTTTTTTATTGTATTGCTGTACTTTTTTTTGTATTTTCTTATGTATTTTTTACGAGACCTTCCAACTCTGCAATATGTAATAAAAAAAATCAATTTAAATGCAAACGTACAGTAGGAACAAAAGTATTGATCAATTATACCTTTCTCAGTCATGCAGATACATATAATCACAATTTCAATAGAGCGTTTGTTTGAAATTTTCTTTTCTTTTTTACATTTGAGCCGAAGAATCATCTAACCATCATTGAAAAATTAGCATTTTTTAAGTCTTTATCCAAAATTTTGTTATAACAATTTTTTTTAAATTTTTTCTTAGATAGACATACAACTGAAGAAAAGTATTCAACAGTTTTTGATCTAAGTTAAATTAGAACAAAACAGAAAGTACAATCACAAATTTCAACAAAACCCAATTTAAATAAATTATAAATGAATAAGTAAAATTTTACTAACAAAATTGTCGATTAAATTTGAAATCAGGTTTTATTATCATTAGAAAATATTTTTTTATTATCGATTTTTCTCTGAAGTTACTGCAAAAAAATCAGAATCTCGCAAATGGTCAGGTCAGCTTTTTAATTGAAATAAAAAGCGAATTACGAAAGTTTGTTTTTCTGCTTTTGACCCAATTGAAGTCCAAATAGATACGCCCGCCAGTACTTTTTACAACCATTTTTTCAAAAAATTTTCTATTAATTTTGTAACTTTCTTAAATTAAAAAGAAATTGTTGTCAAACGGACAACTGAGGAAAAGTATTCAACCATTTTTGATTTTTGTTAAATTAGAATAAAATAAAAAGTAAAAACACAATTTCAAATTTAAATAAATTTTAAATAAAAATGAAAAATTTTGTTCACAAAACTGTTGACTGATTTTCAAATCAGGATTTATTTATTATTAAAGAATGTTTTTTAATAAACATTTTTTCTAAAGTTTTAATAATTCTACTGCAAAAAAGTCAGAACGCCAAATGATCGGTTTAAATTTTTACTTGAAATAAACAGCAAATCACAAATTTGTGGTTTTCTGTTATGAGTCTTTTGAAGTCCAAATTGATACGTTAGCATTTTTACAACCATTTTTTAAAATTTATTTATAAAAATCTAATAATTTTCCAACTTGTTCAAATTTTTTCTTTGTGGTCAAAACGTACAACTGAGGAAAAGTATTCAACAGTTTATGATCTTTATTAAATTATAATAAGTATAATTACAAATTTCAGCAAAACTCAGCAAGGGGTCAATGTAAGTAAATGATAAATGAAGTAAGATTTTATAGAAAATTGTCCATTAATTTTTATATCAGGCTTTATTATCATTAAAAAATATTTTTTATTAACGATTTTTCTTTGAAGTTTTAAGTAATTATACTTTTACTTATTAAAATAAAAATTGCAAAAAAATCAGAATCTCGTAAATGGTCAGTTCAGTTTGTTCATTGAAATAAAAAGCGAATCACAATAAAATTTTGGTTTTCTGCTTTTAACCTCCTTGAAATCTGAATAGATACGTCGGCACTTTTTACAATCATTTTTTCAAGAATTTTTCTATAAAAGTCTATTAATTTTCTAACTTACGCTTTTTTTCAATTTTTTTGTGTTTGAACAAACACAACTGAAGAAAAGTATTCAACTGTTTTTGATCTTTGTTAAATCACAATTTCAACAAAGCGCACCAAGTGCTCAATAAATAGGTAAATAAATAAATTTTAATTAAAATAAAATTTTGTTAACACAATTGTCCATTTAGTTTCAAATCAAGGTTTATTATCATTAAAGAATATTTTTCAGTAAAGATTTTTCTTTAAAGTCTTAATCATACTGCAAAAAAATCAGAACCCCAAATAGCCAGTTTCGATTTTTACTAGAATTAAAAAGCAAATCACAAATTTTTGGTTTTCTTTTTTGAGTTTTTTTTTATAATTTTTTAATAAAAATCTAATGAATTTCTAACTTGCACAAAGTTTTTTTTATTTTTTTGTGGTCAAACGTACAACTGAGAAAAAGTATTCAACCGTTTCTGATCTTTGTTAAATTAGAATAAAACACAAAGATCAATCACAATTTCAACAAAGCGCAGCAAGTGCTCAGTTTAGATAAAATAAAATTTTGTTAACAAAACTGTTGATTTATTTTCAAGTCAGGTTTTATTATTAACATTAGAGTATTTTTAAACGATTTTTTATGAATTTCTAATCATACTGTAAAAAAATCAGAACCTGAAATGGTCACACATTTTTGGTTTTCAAATTTTGACTCCTTTGAAGTCCGAATAGATACGCCACTGCCTGGTCCTATAAATAAACGTATATTTTTCTACAAAACATAAATAAAAACCGTCCATTGTTCGGTCTAGAAACAGTGGAATTATTTTTCCGGCCCGTCAATCTCGTTACTTCGATTCGATTCCGGCGAATCGTTGAAATTTTTGATAAGTATCGAATTGTTTCTCGGCCTGAAACACACATTATACTCATCGCGATTATTCCTGAACGTACTGCTCCGACACGAGTTGGCTGTTGTGCTAAAAGTGCCATTTCTGGCCCTCTTAAAGTAAAATTTTCGGTTCGATTCCGAACAAATAATAAATCCGGTCCGAAATTTCGAACTCATCAAATTGTACAAAATCGGATTGATCGCCGAATTTAGATACACCATAATCCTGCAGAAATACAATATGTTGTAGTATTTCTCGATCTCTAAGTGATAGACTTGCTCTTCCGGAACTAGGATGATCCAGAGGATAAACACCCGGAACGGAATCAGACACAGAAAGAAGCTCAACACTACGGTTCCCAGCATCAGAACCACCTGTTTTCTGGCCCGCAACGAGATATTATCGATGTGTTTGTTGAGGACTAACGTTGCTGCGTTCGACATGAGATTTTTGGCGATTATACAGTAGAGGATGAGAAGGATTATGAGAGGGATTATGAAGAAGAGGAAGATTATGGTGAGGAAGTAGAGGGCGGACCAAAACGTATTGGCCAACGTGTGACAAGCTGGTACCTTGGAACCGTCGAAGTAATCAAGTTGCTTGTATTCGGCTATGACAAGCATTGGGCTGTAAATTTAAAACACTATCACTATTTTTCAAAGGCTGTCACACCAAAAACCAGAGTCAAACCTCTAAGCCAGCTGTATACAGCCAAAGGGGAGGGAAGCTGAACTAAACTTAAAAGAAATATCACGTTTTTAGTTTTTCGCCGATTTACACATAATTTTTTATGTTTCAACAGCTTTTTAGTGGAGTAAGAAAATGTTTCCTCACTTATTTATCAGAATTTTATTTTTTACAAATTTTAAATGATATTTTTATAAAAACAGTTAAACAAGGTTGTTCTTAAAACAATTTTTTTGTGAAAAAAGGTTTTATTTTTACTTTTATGTAACAATGGAAATAGTAGAGAAAATAAAAAACAGAACAAAGGGAACTAAGATAAAACAAATTAAGATAAAACCGAAAATAAAGTCAGAATAATGTAGAAATAGATAAAAAAAAGTAAAATAATCGAAAAGAAACAAAAAAAGATGGGAGAATTATAAAATAGAAACAAAGAGATATGAGCTACATGTAGAAGTTACGGCCCAAACAACAGAAATTTAAAATTCAGAAAAGGAACAAAAAAATATATCAAATTGATTTACATAAATCTAAAAATGGGAAGATGTAAAAAAAACAAAAAAAAATTAAACCAATTTTGAGTCACATTTTTGTACACAACAACTTGGAACAGATACCAAAACTAGAATTATGCTTTTTGTAATAAAAACAAACATAACATTTGAAAAATGTAATTACAAACTCTTAGTTTTCCAAATATAGCTTTAATGATATCAAAATCAAGTTTTTGGCAACGTATTATCTCCTTGCCTTCAAATTATTTGAAAAAAAAAATGTAAAAAATTAAAAACAGCGATAAACAAAATAAAAGAAACACAAAAGTAAATGTAAACAATAAATGTAAAAACAAGAATAAACAAAATAAAAACTAAGACAAGGATCAGCTTTAAAAAAGCAAAAATTTATACAGTATTTTTATAAAAACAGTAAATAAGGTTGTTCTTAAAACAAATTCTTTGTGAACAAAACGTTTTATTTATTACATGTGTGCAACAATGTAAATAGAGAAAATAAAAAACAGAACAAAGGAAACTAAAATAAAACAAATTAAGATAAAACTGAAAACAAAATTCAAATAATGTAGAAATAGATAAAAAAAAGTAAAACAATCGAAAAGAAACATAAACAAAGATGAGATAATTATAAAATAAAAACAAAGACACGTAAAGGTTACGACCCAAACAAAAGAAATATAAAATTCAGAAAGGAACAAAAAAATATATCAAATTGATTTACATAAATCTGAAAATAAAAGAATGTAAAAAAAAAACAAAAAATTAGAAAAAAAATAAACCAATTTTGAGACCATTTTCGTTCACAACTTGGAGCAGATACCAAAACTAAAATAAAATAAAAATTATGTTTTTTGTAATAAAAACAGACGTAATTGAAAAATGGAATTACAAACTCTTAGTTTTCCAGATATAACTTTAATGATATCAAAATCTAGTTTTTGGTAACGTATTATCTTCTTGCCTTCAAATTATCTGAAAAATTATGTAAAAAAAAAACAAAAATAGGGATAAACAAAATAAAAGAAACACAGAACTAAATGTAAACAATAAATGTAAAAACAAGAATAAACAAAATAAAAACGAAGACAAGCAGAAGCTTTAAAAAAGCAAAAATTTATATAGTATTTTTATAAAAACAATACGTAAATAAGGTTGTTCTTAAAACAAATTCTTTGTGAACAAAACGTTTTATTTATTACACGTTTGTAATAATAGAAATCGTAGAGAAAATAAAAACAGAACAAAGAAACCTAAGATAAAACAAAGTAATAATACTATAAGAAAACATAAAATAATAAATAGACCAGAAATAAGGTAAAAACATAATAAAGATAAAATCGAAAACCAAGTCAAAAAAAGTAGAATAACCAAAAAGAAACAAAAAAAAGATAGAGAATTATCAATAGAAACAAAAAAAAATTAAAAATAACATAAAAATAGAAGCAAAGACACATGAGCAACATGTAAAAGTTACGACAAAAACATCAGAACTAGAAAATTTAGAAAAGGAACAAAAATATATCAAATTGATTTACATAACTCTATAAATAAAAACAAAAATAAAATTTATTCAGAAAGTAGAATGGGCTCAAAATGTAAACAAAACAAAAGTTCAAAAAAAATTAAGCCAATTTTAAGTTACATTTTTGTTCACAGCAACTTGGAGCAGATACCAATACTAGAACATTATGCCTTTTATAATAAAAGCAGAGATAACATTTGAAAAATTGAATTACAAACACTTAGTTTTCCAAATATAACGATATCAAAATATAGTTTTTGGCAACGTAATATCTCCTTGCCTTCAAATTATTCAAAAAAAAAAGTGAAAAAAATAAAAATAGCGATAAACAAAACAAAGATATGCCCCAGCCTTAAAAAAGCAAATTTTATATAGTATTTTTATAAAAACAGTAGACAAGGTTGTTCTTAAAACAAATTCTTTGTGAACAAAATGTTTTATTTATTACACGTGGGTAATAATAGAAATCGTAGAGAAAATAAAAGCAGAGCAAAGGAAACTAAGATAAAACAAAGTAATAATACTATAAAATAACGTAAAACAATAAATAAACCAGAAGTAAATTAAAAACATAATAAAGATAAAACCGAAAATAAAGTCTGAATGATGTAGAAATAATTTAAAAAAGTTGAATAATCGAAAAGAAAATTCTGAAAAAGAACAAAAATATATCAAATAAAATTACATAAATCTAAAAATGTAAACAAAACAAAAATTCAGAAAAAAAATTTAAGCCAACTTTGAGACCAGAACTAGAATAAAATAAAAATTATGCCTTTTGCAATAAAAACAGACATAACTTTAATGACATCACAATATAGTTTTTGGAAACGTATTATCTCCTTGCCTTCAAATTTATTTGAAAAAAAATGTCAACAAAAATAAAAATAGCGATAAACAAAATAAAAGAAGCACAAAATCAAATGTATACAATAAATCCAAAAACAAGAACAAACAAAATAAAAAAACTAGGACAAGCAGCAAAAATCTATCTCATTTTGAAATAACCGTTTTTCTTCACTTTTTTCTCAATTTTTTAGTCCAGCTTCCCCTAAGTCATGCATTTGGGGAACTAAACCCTCATTTCCGCCCTGTATACAGCTAAAATGTACCAGTCATCTAAGGGTTTATACAGAGGTGCAAGACATCACAAGGGTTAAACCACAATCACAAGGCCACACGAGGTTAGGGAGTGTCGAGGATGCATATTCGTGTAAAATGTGTGTTTTTTCAAATTCCCGCCACCAAGCAATGGATGTCTTATGATCCCTTCAGGCCCACACAATAATCCTTTAGGAGAATCCGGGTCTTACCTAGTGAATAAGGCAGCGATGAACCAGGCTAATAAGCAGATAAGGGATGCTCTCGTTTTGGTGCATATGTATCCGGCCTTGAGGGGCTTGCAGATGGCGTAATAACGCTCGAAACTTATGGCCAGGATAGTGAGGACCGACGCGTGGGCCACGGTGAGTTCAACAAAGGGCACAGCTTTGCCTAAAAATAATCAATTAGTGCAAACGATTACTAATTAAACAAGACACAAAGTGGGCGTAATTAAACGTGAATCGTTACTACGAGCTTTGTGAGATCGTTACAAAAGCTCCTGACTTCCAATTCAAAATAACCGGAAAAATCGCTTTCAATTCGCTGGCTGAGTTGCCATGGCGAGTATCTCTCGTGCTCGGCCAGTTATGAGTTTTTAACTGATTTCATTTCATTTTTTCTTTAATTGAAACTCGGTCGATGAGGGTATTTGGGACTGAAATAACTCGCCTTATCCCAACTTTGCCACTTAATTATCTTCCGGTATATATCCAGGCATAAATTCCGGACACAAACCCGAAAAGGATACTTGGAAATTAGAGCTATTAGAAGAAAAAAAAAATAATTGCCAAAAGTGAAGTGATTGTAAAATTGCGGAATGTTTACGATACAGATTCAAGAACCCACAGGATCTTAGTTTATCATTAAATAAATGAAATTACTCGGTTTTCAAGTTTTGCGATGTATTAAAATCGGGGAAGAAAAATCATAAAAACAGATTATTAGATATACCTACAAACGGAAAAATAAAAAATAACTAAAAATACGAGTAGATGTAGAAATACGAAGTGATCCAGAAAGACTGAGTCTGTTGGCAACAGATTTGAAAGTATTTTTGTTAATAATTTGAAACACTGCAACCGGATACGGTGTTGCTTGACAAATACTTGACGTATGTACAGTCGAACAAAGTGAAAATGACGCCTCAATAAACCAGCCCCTGCTGTGAAAGCCGAGCCTTCAACCGCAAGCAGGCAGGGTCGTAAATTATCGGATTGCAAACTAAACGTAGTTTCAAGATAAATTCCTTTATGAGGCAGTTTAAAGAAAGCGCAATGAAAATTTATTTCGGAATTAAACTACTAAACAGCAGGGTTTATTGAGGCGTCATTTTCAGTTTGTTCGACTGTATAACCCCACAATATTGTTAAATTGTTTTTAATCAAAAGCGTACTCTAATGGTAAACTTTAAAAATTAGGGTCATTATTACCAACATATAAGCAAAATCTGATAAAAAGAGAAGAAACAAATGTAATAAAAATCCACTAAAATAGAACAAAAAAAAAACACAAAAATTTTAGTAAAAATAAAACAAAACTAGGCGAAACAGAAAAGTAGAATACAAAGTAACAAAAATAAAGAATTAATTAATTAATAATGAATACCTAGTCTTGCACTTTTGTTTAGAAAAATGGAGATGAAATAGTATATTAAAGAATACGTTTCGTAAGGCAAGTTTTGTGAACGAATTCAGGTTTATGAACAAAACGACTTATGAAACAAGTTTTTTTATGCTACTTTTTCTCTTTTGCATATTTTACGTACTTTTTTAGCAAAAAAGTCAATTTTTCATAATTTAGACACTTTTGTCCTAATAGGGTTGAGGTTGGTAATAAATGTCACAAAGTTTGAAAGTTTGTCAAGTCTCAAGTATTTCTCAAAATTTTGTTGAATTAACATTGAATACTGCAAATATTTAAAGCACACCATCTGAAAAAAGAGAAAATCGCTCAAATCGCCGCTGAAAATCACCATTACCAACCCCTAAAAAGTAAATTGTACTAGTCTATTTCAGCACATAAATCGTTGTTCAAATGGCTCATTAAAACATCGGTTTTTCATTTAAATTGTTTTTCATCTAAAAATATAATCAAATAAAAAATAAGTAAGAATAGAAATACTACAAAAATAAAAAAAATTGAAAATTAAATAAATAAGTAAGAACAAATCAGTAATAGCGCAAAAACAAAATTGTAAAACTACAAATTCTGAATAGAAATTTAAAAAAATACGATAAAAGATAGAAACAACAACAAATTTTTGATAAGTGAAACAAATAACGTTTAAATAGATAAAATGTATGTCAAGTCTGTACAACAAATTGAATTTTATAAAATTTACCTATAGTTTGTTTTTAAATAAATAGTTATAAAAAACACTTGTGTTGAATCATATTTTTAAACAGTTACTTAAAAATTACGGGAACAATAATCAGAAATGTAATAAAAGCTGCAGCAGGAAGAAGGATAATAGAGTAGGAGCTGAACAAAAATAACAATAGGCCAAAAATATACTGAAAAAAAGAAAAAAAGCTAATATTGGAAGTATTGTAGCAATTAAACTCATAAATTGTAATAAATAGATGTAGAAAAAATAAATAAAAAGATAAAACAGATAAAACATTTTTTCTTCAGTGATGTTTAGACAGGGACAATTAATCTTATCACAACTTCGCCACTTAATTATTTTCCGTATTCCGGTATATTTAGACATAAACTCCGGGATCAAGTCTAGAAGGGATACTTGAGTAATTTACAGATGTTGTTAAGAAGCTTTATTGTGAGAAATTTCAGTAATCTTGAAGATCTGAAAATTATTTAAACGAGCCTGAAAAATGTATTGCTGAAAGTTGAAGTGGTTTTAAGAAATGTTTACGATTAGGTATTAATATCTCACTTATATTTTTATTATCCATTAAATTAACTTAATCCCAATTATAACTTAGTTTTGAATTTATTAGCAATAAAATAAATGTTACCTACTTGGCTTCTGTTTAAGATGTGGTTGCTCATAAAACACGTTTTTTTAACCACAAAAAGCAAATTATAAAATGCATATGTGTGATTTACGTAAACGTAATTCATTTTAATTCAATTTGGCTTAAACCGCAAACCTGGAAATGCGATTTTTTCGCTTCTGTGTGTGCGATAACTGTCACCGATGTCGCACGAATTACCAATTTATTTTGGTCGTAAGAAACGGTTTAACCACATTCCATTTTAGTCTTTGTATTTATATACTTTTTGTAATAAATAACTTATTCTCGAGAGTACAATTGTAGCTCTCACAGATCTCTAATTCCATTCTTTTCACTTCGAACGTGATGCCAATCAAATACGTATGATTTACATAAATTACTATTATTACAAAAATGCCCACATAATCCCATCGTGGGCGAATTGCTTATTTTAACTGTCAAATCTGGATGAAAAATGCGTTTCGTATTGTAATACCATCGAAGAAAAAAACAATTAACCAATTATAATCAGTCCATGGCTGTCAGAAATGGACATAATAGAAACGTGAGCGATGCTACCGGAGGGCATGTAGGCGTCTGAATTTCTATCCGGTTTAATACGAGTTTGGAGGCGCCGCTATGGGCGCATAAATTTCAGAGACATGTTCATGGTGGCGTTTAAATGGATTTTAAAGTGTCTGAAGAAAGAAGAAAGTAAATTAAACAGCACAATGAGAAATAAACTCAAATTGGTTTCTCAGATAAGACATTGAACACTTTTTTCAAAAACTCATTCTTTCAACACATACAAGTGCGCCAAAACTCACGCCCCAGAAAAAAATGCCATGTAAGGTAAGAAACCAGGAAGATGGAAAAAATGTTAAAAAACTTCTATTTATAAAAATTTCGAAGTTATGAGAGTTTAAATTTTGCACTTTGACTGTAGGTATTTATTTCTGTTGGAAAAATAATTTTCCAAGTTTTTTTGTTACAGGCTATTAGAAAAGGAAACAAGAAAGCTGGTATCTTATCTCACTTGAAATTTTCATTAGGGCGCGAGTTTTGACACACCCTGTATTTTTCAAAATAAAGAAAATAACTATAAAATTGGTTAATCAAACTTTGAAAATAAAAGAAATAAGAGTAGAAATAATGAAAAATTAAATAAAAACAAGACCAAAAAATAATTAAGTATTTTATTTAAGCAAAATAAAAAATGAGCCATGAAAATCGAGTAATCGTGAATAGTTTTGTCTCCTGGACAAAAATGCCTAAATACGAGAGTAAAACTACAATTTTAATATTAAAATTAGTAACCTGATTTATTTAAACATAATTTCTTATAAAAAGTACATCTTTCTGTAAATTTTGCATTAAAGTAGATAAAGAAACTTGCCTACTTCTTCATGTTTTTCTGGTCTCACTCTCACTTTGTTTCATAAAGATAACGCACTAGTTTTCAAGCTCTAAAATTCATTTATCGGTTTGTTAATCTGTATCAGATCGAAGAAAAAGTTGAGAAGGAACAATACCTGTGAAGAAGTCGGTTCATCAGGAATTTCCAGAATGTTTCAAAATAATTTTTGATAATTGTTGATAATAATTAATGATTCTGTCTCATTATACTCGTGTACAACCTCTTCAACGAGAAAAATACTGGAAACTAGCAGGTAATGTCACCCACGAACTAATAAATGTCAAACGCAAAATTACAGTAGACCAGCTATTTTTTAAATTCTGGGCAAATTGGTAATATTTTCGTAACCTAGCAACGGATATAATTTTTCAATCACACCTTGAGGTGCCCTTCTGGGATTGGTGGATTTAAGAGTGTAATAACTCTCTTATGCAAGCAAAAATTACTTCTTCGGCTGCACTTTTTGGCGACCTATTGCCCCCGGCATTTGACATTTTTCTCTGGGGCGCGAGTTCTGGCGCAGCCTGTATAAAATGCACATAAGGAAAGAGTTAGAATAAAACACAAAATAAAACAAAAACACTTCTAAATAACTTTCCCAAAGCCATAGAAATAGCTTCAAAAGATTTTAATTAAAATTAATTTCGTTAAATTGTGCGAAAGTCTTAAATCCGACCATAACTCTATTTAATAGCAGCCTCATAGCAATGCTGATGTAAACCATTTATTTCGTTAAATAAAAATAGAGACTGAAAAAAATAAAGCAGGAATATGACAGAAGTAGGAACAAATAGAAGAGAGTCTTGACGAAAATAGAAATATGTATGATAAAAATAGGACAGAAAACAAAAGAAAGTAGTCTGAAATATAGTCAAAATAGAACTGGTATTTATTGAATCATTTGCCAATTCAAATATTTTAAATTAGTTTCGCGCTGTTGTCAATAAAAATCACAAAGTGATTAAACCGGCGACAGTAGTTTTATTTATTTATTTAGTGTTCCGCAGCTCCGCCAC